CAATTGAAATAAATAGAGAAGCGCATTGGCACAACTTCTACAGATTTAAATCAGACATCAAGGAAAGGGTTCCAGATCGGTTCACATGTAACATTCACAAGTGCTCAGAACAGGGGATACTGCATGATTTTGAAAGGATGTATGACCGAAGCTACGGGCCTGATATCTCAATTTGATCCAGCCAATTTATTTCCGATAAAATCAGATAACACAACAGGCAAATATTCTAACTTGTCAAAGGCAATTCTTTCATCATGTTTGGAGATAGAAATATGACTAATGATAATTTTTTTATTGGAGTTCATGGTTACCTCTTAAATGAAGTTATTAAACATTGTTAAATCAACTAAACTCTCAAAATTTGAACCAGACTTATAATATAGTGAGCTATATACCTGAGACCTGATTCATCGTTTCAAAGTGGTAAAATGCTACCGTATACGCAAGGGAGGACATGGAGGAGACCATATTTACTCGATTGGGGATCACGAGAACATACAACGAAAACGTTTAGAAGGAAACGCGAAACTTAAAGGTACGATTTAAGTAGTATTATGATGTCGAAATTGATCAAATAAGACACACCATAAACACATTAAGGATACCTTATGCTATGCATTTACGTTTGGGACTGATACATAATGTATATTTTTGTTTTCTAGCCACGTATGTGATCCAGTACAGCGATACGCTTGTCCATAAAGAGTGTATTTTGAAGCACGTTGGCAAGTTATTTGAAGAGTAATACAAGAAGCAAGTTCGTTGTTTTGCTAACAATATGATGAATTGATTCTGGTGGAAGATATACTTGTAAGTTAAACTTATTTCAATAGTTGCACATATCTTTAAGAATAATATTATTGTGATATTCCCATTCTAACTTGAGCTAAAAATAAGAAGGCGTATTCCTAATTCACACGTGTGGCATCTGGGAATACATCATACAATAATAATTTAAAGATGAATGGGTACCTCAGTGGAATTGGATAATTATAAAACCATTCACGCGTGTATCTCCTTCACATATGCCTAAAGTTGCTTCTTCAGAAAATATAGCTTTAAACAAGGGTCGATCCAAAAGTTTTGCATCGTGTGCTCTAAAAATCTTAATACTTTATGAGTATTTTTCATATCGTATCTCATCCACCCCATGTGTAGTAGTTTCATTCTGCGTAAAATAAGCAATGCATTTGATCAGTAACATAGTTTTCTGAAAATGAAATAGCGCTTCAGTTGCTGAAATTACCAAAACGGTTTAATTCATTCAAGCTCCACATACCCTGTTGTTGTATTGCTATGGTAACTAGATGCATATGTTGAATTTTGAATTCATGGTTTATCTATACACAAAATGAAGCTACAATGTAGGGGGCGATTAAGGCAAAATGTGTATATTATTCGTCAAAGAAAAAGATTTTAGAGCAAACGGTGGAGACCTTTTGGATCAATCCTCGTACACCAATTTTTGAATTTGAACCTGATGTGATATGTCATAAGTACAAGCGGATAACATAAGCAATTTGCATTGATACATCTGAGACAGTCACGAGGTGGTGTTAATTTCACAGTTTGGAATGCTATATGTTGTAATTCCACTCCATTTGTTAATAGGATTTTAAAGACCCAGATAAAACCACTTGTTGTAGTCGTACACAATGATATCAATATTTGATATGGAAAACTTCTTTTGAAGGGACTTTTTATTCGAAACATTCTCAACTAATTTCGAATGATTTTGTTGTCAGTTGTCAAACACATTAAATAAGCAGTGATAATATAAATCCCATCGATTGCAAGCATATATATATATATATATATATATGTGTATACTGATCTATTTTATGTTGGAAAATTATAACAATTGTTTGGGGAACGAAAGAGAAATGAACTCACAAACGCAGGAAAGTGGTTCAGAAAAAGAGACACATACATTTAAAAATACAACATTACAAACAGCGACGGCTTTTCGAATGATGTTGACCCTTGAATTGCCTATGAGAAGAAACGATTTTGAATTTAAATATATTTTTTGACACAAAAGGATGAAACTAAAGATTGACACTATTAGAAAAAATGAAACCAGTAAGATAATAGTAAAATAGAATGGTAGATTAGTGAAATTGTCATTTTAAAGTATATCATTTAATTTGTCATGTTTTGTTAATATTTTGTATGTACAGTTTTCATAGTAGATAAATATAAAGCTTTCTCATGGAGAAAGTTTTCCATGATTAAAATGAATACTTCAATTCAGAAATTATAAATTTATTGTGTTAAATCAATCCTCAAGTGTGGTAATGTTCCAAATATTACACAGTATGTAGATTGTATGATTAACAAGTTCAATGGTGTCATCACATGCGATATACTTATTTATAGATTTGTCTTAAGAGTCAACCCTTACAAATACATTTAACATTAATAATCAAATTATGGTGAAAAGAAAAAGGAAATAAAAGAATCAAAATAATTTCATTGTAGGATGAACCTCAAATGCAATATATGATTTAATAAATGAATGTTGTGGTTGATTCAGAACTCCTTCAACATTTATCAAGAAGGGAAAATTCATTCATATTAGATGCATATCTTTCATATGACCACACATGTTTTGAACGCTTGGTATCATCTCCAGAACTAAATACCGTATCGAATACTACCTACTCTATATGGTATAACCAAGTATGAGAGTACGAGACCACATTTTAGGACTTTCATCAAAATACAAAAACTAAGCCTATATCATTTGATTGATAATTTATCTTTTGATGAAAAAGCAAAATTAATGTGTCGCATACGCAAGCAGTGAGTTATGTTCAAACATGGGCTTTCAATTAGTTGAAAGCCCATGGTTCAAACAAATACAAAAGTATTAACATCAATCATGTATTTAAAGAATTTTTAAGACCAAGCTTGATACTTTATGGATGGGCTAATGGAACCATCTTGGTATCAAATGATGCTCGATTGAAAGAAACTTATTCGCTTTTCCTACCCCAATCGAATGATTTTTGATTTAGAGAATGCCATTCGCTTTGTCCACCTTTTAATAATGACTGAATGATGTACCTGACCTTATTTGCCTACCTTAATGGCATTGGTGTTTGTTTAGCTCTGTAATTCTACTAGAGAAGAATTGACTTTGCTTCCAGGCAGAAAAGAGATAAAAAGAGATGGAGTCATTGCAGCCTCATTCGCCACTTGAGTAGACCAACCGTTGCGTAATATAGACAGGTAAACAGGGCCGACAATATTTATCTGTGTGAATAATTAAGTGAACTATTGTGTTGCCCTATTCCATGACATTCCAAGAATTGGCAAGAGACTCGAGTAACCACTGGATTTATCCTACAAGTCTTGTACTTCATACCTGATACCTATTGTGTGCTGTAAACAGGCAGAGTCATTTAAAACTCAGATCTCTTTCTAACAAGAAGCTGCCATCAATTATGTAAAGATATATGCAGAGGGTGCGTGGTTATATAATTCATTCGAACATGACTGTATTCACGCCTTCTATAAACTGTAAACAAAGTCAACATTTCACCCGGGGTATATTCGCGATCAAAATCCTTGGTAATACGTGCAATGTTTGACGTCATAACGGCGGGACGTAGTAATGGCGGTTCATAATGAATATTAAAGATTACTGATAGACAGTTACTCTGGCATAGCCGAAAAGAGCACACATTCCAACGTCCATATTGCTCACCAGGAGCCGTCACCGTGAACAAAAACATTGTGAGGAAAATTATGAAGTAAACATGTTGCATGATACGTTTTTGTGCATGTGTGGTTGATACCACATTTTATCATATATTTAAATGAATAAGTGAATTAAAATGTACAACACCCGCATAGAAATTTCTATACAGGATTTTTATATCTATACATGCATTTTTTGACCATATATAACTTTCTATATTGGCCATCAAGCAAAATTATTTTTCTGCGCCGCATAGAAATTTCTATACAGCATTTTTATTTATCGATCTTTTCCCTATAGAAATTTCTATACCGGCAACCAAAATTTATATTTACACCTGCATAGAAATTTCTATACGAACACTTGTTTTAATTAGAAAGGCATAGAAATTTCTATACGGGGAGAAATGTTTTTCTGGTAACAGAATTAGTATTTTCCGACGGCCTTCACATAGAAATTTCTATAGAGGTATTCAGTTTTAAATCTTCTGCTTAATCGGTAGAGAAATTTCTATACCGATAACCAAATGTTCATCAATAACAAAATTAATATTTCCAGCCTCATCCGCATAGAAATTTCTATACGAAAAGTCAACGGAGTCTTTTGTATAGAAATTTCTATCTGAGGATAGTGTATTTGAAAATATAGTTTGAAGTTACATAGAAAATTCTATACGATAAGAAGAAACACAATTTTACTAGACATTAACATGAATATGTATTGATAAAATGATTTTACCTTTATCTGGTTTGATGAAATATTCATATACTTTGTATAAATATTGTAAATCTAATATGATAATAAAACATTGACGGTTGAAATACATGAAATGCACTGCTGTTTTTGCGTTTTTGGGTTTACAAAAAGGGACTAAACGGTTCATTCTCTATTTAAATGGTCACGACTTATTTACTCATGACAGGTTTCAAAATGGCGGAACAGCATTTTGAAAGCTGGCACGTGTCATGTGGCATTCTGGGAGCCAATCCTCCGTTCCGGCGCAATCGGGCGACAAAATCACCTCAACATTTGAAGAGTCGGCATAACATGTGAATATCCAATTCAACTTTTGAAGTTCTTATTTGTCATTAGGGACACAAATTCCACTATATTTGGACTTACTAAGACGGAGAAAATAGAGCAATGAACACACTGAGGTAAGAATTTATTACATGTGCGACAGCATGTAGGCCCTAATTTTCATAGCTTTTGAAATTCTTTATGATCCCCACTGTAGACTAAACTAATCCAGAGACCTCTGAGTTCTGACTAATCTAAGTAACTGTTTTCTTACTTGTTCTATTGTGTATGTTATCCAGTTGAATTACAGGCCTGGATACACGCCGATGAGTCGGTCCAGTGTCTTTTTCTTGCAAATATACAGTGCCTAAAGTTTCAAACTTTTTATGCTGACATCTTGTTTTTATGTATTGGGCGGCAAATAATTGGTGGCGTAAAGAAAGAAAGAATCAATACATAATCAACAATACTGTTGGCTAATGAGGTGAAAGGAGTAAACATATTTTTTATTCTCATATTCCATAGGTTACAGATCAATGGAACAGATATGAGCAATGAACTAGTCCAGCTTCAATTAAATCGCTTTTGGACGCATGCGATCCAAAATTTAGAACCTCCATTGAAACGTCCGTCGAGCATTTGAGAAATAAAACAACATCAAAAATGCCTCGTATTATGATAAAAGGTGGTGTTTGGAGGAATACAGAGGTAATATTCTTAACATGTTTACACTTACAAACCACTTGGCGTAATAATTTGACTGCTGATAGGCGCATATTCACCGATATTTAGAGGTCAAATATTTCAAAGTTTTTCTTTCGCTGTTTCTTCAGACTGAAAAGATTTGAGATTTTCATTTCAAATATTAGCCTACACATTTTGTTCTCAAGATATTATATTGTGTCTTAGTGGAAAAATATCCCGTTACCATTGGCTACCAGCATTCCTTATGTAACCATTTCAGCTTTGTTTTGTTGACCATGAAGCACAAGCACAATTGTGACAATAGACTATTCAAGATAAATAATAGATCTACATACAGTCGGAGACATTAATAAACTTAGACCATCAAAATTTGTCACAATGAGCTAAATTCTAAGTTTCATGTCTCAAACCATGGACTTCAAATAGAAGTCCATGCTCAAACTCTCCCAAGCGGTAGAAACATAATTCCCGTTCACTCTAAGTAGCACAATAAATGAATCCAAAGCTTCATACCTGCAATTGATGGATAAATTCCTACCAAATTGAACAAATGTTTTCATGGATCGCCATGTTTGTGATCCAAGGAGGATTGACTTCCAGAATCCAACATCAGTTAACCTTTATTACTCAAGACAAGTTTCTAAATGGCAGAATGGCATTTTGAAAGCTGGCACGTGTCATGTTGCATTATGGGAGCCAATCCTCCTTGCGGCGTAATCGGGCTCCAAAATCACCTCAACATTTGAAGAGTCGGCATTAACATGTGAATATCACTTCATATTTTTAAGTTCCTATTTGTCATTATGGACACAAAATCCACTATATTTGAACATTTCGTTACGAAGAAAATAGAGCAGTCAATTCACTGAGGTGAGAATTTATGACATATGTGACAGAATGTCTTTTTCATAGTGTTAGTCATTATTTATGTTCACTACTTAAAGTGTCAAAAGCGAATTATATCATGGAAAGTTCCGGAAGTTTGGATACGAAAAATCACCGATTAAATGTGAAATTTGATTCTTGAATCGTTATTGAGGTCAATATATACAGGTTGGACCATAAATAAATGAGAAGTCGATTTTCTATCAACATTTCCAAACCATGGTGGTTTGAAAGCCCATATTTCTAATATTAGATAATAATCTTATGCTCCATGATCAACAAAACAAAGCTGATACGGTTGTATTTGTGAGTGTCTACTTGAAGGTAATAAATAGTTACATACATCAGCTAAATCTTATTTTTAAGATTTGGTAGATGGAGAAAAACCACATTGAAATATATAGAAAGATCTAGTAATATAAGTGTCCATCCAACTCAAGCAATATTTAATAAATGAGCCTGGCCATAGGAAAACTGGTCTTATCACTAGTGGTGCAACTCGCAAGAAAAATGCTACTCGAGTAGAAAGTGTGAAAATGCCACTGTAATCGAGTACCACTCGCAAAAATGAGGGAAAAATTTAAAAAAATAAAAAACTCACCTAGTCGACTGTTTGAAGACCAAATAGATACAATTTCTTCGTTTCTTCTATATGTTATTGATGTTATATATAGTTTGTATCAATTTAGTGAGGATAAATGTAGTTATTCATGCCATAATTGTGTTTGTTAGTTTGTTTTTAAATATTTTCATTTTGTTTCCGGAATCGATACTTTGTTTCGTTCAGTGCATCCAAAAATGATCATTCCCGGGGTATGAGATCGTTGTTTGGGAATTCAATGCCTACTCGAGTTTGAAAAAACGTACTCGAGTAACTATCTTGGACAGGTTCAACGAGTGAGTGGCGAGTACTGGCATTCGAGTTGCACCACTACTTATCACAATAATTAGAATTGTGCTACAGAGCCCAAAATGTGCCCAAGACTAAGAGGAAAATGTGCTAAATTCAAATCCGACTTCTTGGTCTATATATGCAAGGAAAAATAGTTAAAACATAAGCCATGGCTCATTTAAAAGGGTCTCTTTGGGCTTTCTAAGATAAAAAAAAATCAGAATATTGAAAAAATCTGTGATAAGACCCCTTTTCCTGTGGCCTGGCTCATGCTGCCTTTGGACATATATTATTTTGCACTTACCCTTTACAGTCATACTGGAAATTCTAGTAACTATTTTGAATATAAGGCTGTGTGCTTTTGTAGTTTAGGGAGTTTCAGCCATGTTAGTTTAGGAGGAATTAGAATGGCAGGAAAACACCAAAATAATAGAGGCCACATATAATTATGATAATCAAACTCCAAAACAAACCAAAATATACCAAAGCTAGGGCAGGTACAGTGTATAGTATGTTGAAATGTGGTCACTTATTTTTTTAGATTCAAATGTGTTGCTAGAATTTCCAGTCTGATTGAGTCTGAATCACCCTTTCCATGTGTCATTCAAACCTAAAAATTTAGCAATCAAAGCACCACCATGTATTATTGAAATTCATATTTTAGGATGAGATCTTGAAGGCAGCTGTTATGAAATATGGCAAGAACCAATGGTCACGTATTGCTTCACTCCTCCATCGCAAGTCTGCCAAACAGTGCAAATCCAGATGGTAAGTGTAGATATGCATAAGTTTAATTAATAACAAAAACAATTTTTTTTACTTCATAGCTGATTATAGCTTATTGTAGATGGAAGTTGTAAAAACGTCAATAGATATATGTCTAATTCTAGGTAGTGTAAATCCTCCTCTGTATTGCCATTATCTACTTTATTTTGAATTTTGAAGTGCAATTAAAATTCAGAATCCAGTAGTATTTTACAGTATGTTGAAAAATATTTTTAATACAAATAACATCATGTTTTAGGTTTGAATGGCTGGACCCAAGCATCAAGAAGACAGAATGGAGCAGAGAAGAGGAAGAGAAGCTTCTCCACCTTGCCAAGCTGATGCCAACCCAATGGAGGACTATTGCTCCTATTATTGGTCGCACTGCCGCACAGTGTCTTGAGCACTATGAGTTGCTGCTTGATAAGGCTCAACAGAAAGAGGAAGGAGATGATGACCCAAGAAAACTGAAACCTGGTGAGATTGATCCAAATCCTGAGACAAAACCAGCCAGACCAGATCCAGTTGATATGGATGAAGATGGTAATTATTTCCTTTACTTTTAGAATATTATTATAATATTTTTTCGATCCCAAAATTTTGTCTGTACACATAAGATGGATTGAATTGAAATTTAAAGTTATGAAGATCTTTTCACCACGGGGATCAAGCTATTTATCATAAGAATATTAAAAATTTGTCAAAATTAATTTTTTACTGAAAAGTAAGAAGGAAAACCTTCACTTCTGTTTTAAGTTAGAGGAGTTATAGGCCATTGAAAAGGCCTTTCCACAATGTATTTTTCTTTCTCGATATTCATGTATATTTTGATTGAATAAGTACATGTATATCAATTTTTGTAAATGGAGAAAGTACATGTAATGCATATTCTTGTATTTTCTAGAACTCGAAATGTTATCAGAGGCAAGGGCAAGACTCGCCAATACACAGGGAAAGAAGGCTAAGAGGAAGGCACGAGAAAAACAGTTAGAAGAAGCGAGAAGGCTGGCTGCCTTACAGAAACGACGGGAACTAAGAGCAGCTGGGATAGAGTATGTTCAATATTGAAGTTGATTTATGTTACACTTTTTGAATTACGGTACTAGGCTTATGAACTAATCAACAGGAAATGTTTTAACATTGATAGATTTTATAATTGTAATCAGAGTCCCATTTTACTAAAAAAAATTCTTCACATTGTGAAATTTATATGGTAAAAAGGGCAATTCCAATTGTAAATTCACTTTTACTCAAACCAGTACTAAGAAATAATCTACAAAAAGCCACCAAATATTTTTACAAAGCCATGGGCTTGATGTAAGTGTCTTGTCCTCATATGTCATGGATTCTTAAATTTTCCAGGATCAAGAAGCACAGGCGTAAGAAACGAGGCGTAGACTATAATGCTGAGGTGCCCTTTGAGAAGAAACCAGCACCTGGTTTCCATGACACTTCAAATGAAACATTCGATCCTGACGCACCAAATTTTAAACGATTACGTCAACAGCATCTTGATGGCGAAAGAAGGGATGCCAAGGAAGAGGTGAAGTATTTCTTTTGATAGATTTTTAATTTATGTGTCTTGATCAAGAATTAAAAATTCACTGATACAATGAGTTAGTAACTAAAAAGCACAGCAAATTAGCAGTATCAGAAAATATCAATAAGGCTTCCCAATCTCCATGAATACATGAATACAGTATTCCCTTATATTGAAGGGGGATCCAAGAATTTGTGTAAACCATATGCAAAAATGACATTGAGTGTTTTTTTTGTAGAGGGAACGTAAGGAAGACAAAAAGAAAAAGAAGAAAAGAACAGAGAATGATCTCCCTGGTCAGATTCTCAGTCAAAATAAGTGAGTACACAAGATGACAATTGCTTGATTATGAAAATTGCTTGATTATGAAAATTGCTTGATTATGACAATTTCTTGATTATGAAAATTGCTTGATTATGAAAATTGCTTGATTATGACAATTTCTTGATTATGAAAATTGCTTGATTATGACAATTTCTTGATTATGAAAATTGCTTGATTATGACAATTTCTTGATTATGAAAATTGCTTGATTATGACAATTGCTTGATTATGAGAATCAATTATACATTTATATTTATACATTTTTATATCACCACCACAAGTGTTAAAGTCTCCAACTTTTTTGTGGATGGTGTTCAGTTGTTGGTGTTCAGCGTTCAGTGGTTGGCAGTCTTGTGTCTGTAACAAATGGCAAGTGGTGATACTTGGCCTTGTCTGTTTTTTTGTCTTAGTCTTTTCAATACATGTAGTATCCTAGCTCTTAAAATATTCAAAATGATTCTACATCAAATTTTTGCAGTGATCCCTTACATGTAATTGTACATCAAAAAATCTATCAAGCAACATGTGATTCTGAAAATAATGTTCTTCCTATAGATTCTCAGAACCGGTTAAAAAGCGAAGTAAGTTGGTTCTCCCAAGCCCTCAGATCTCCGACCAGGAGTTAGAAGATGTGGTTAAAGTGGGTCAAGCTACTGAGATGGCACGTCTTGCTGCCCAAGAGACTGGAGATGGGGGCGCCACACATACATTACTTCAGGACTATAGTCTGAACCCTGGTACTGGCCCCCTTAGGACTCCTCGAACACCTGCGGTGAATGGAGACACCATTCTACAAGTATGCAAAATTTAGTTATTATTTTGTTGTTCATAATGTGGTTTTGTGATTGAAATTATGAAAAAACTAATTCTACTATTGGCAAACTTAAATGATTGATGATGATATTCATATTATATGTTTTTATCAGCAAAAACATATTTTTACTTATCCTTTCAAATGAATTCCCTGATTGATTGATTCATTTTGATTATACAATCATGTTAACACAAGTTGATCATTGGATTATACAAAATCCTCAAAAAATTATATTTCCTCTAAAATTCCACTTTGAAAATTCCCCTGGTCTCATAAAAATTCCCATTTCTTCATTTTCATTCTAGGAAGCTGAGAATATCATGGCCCTTACTAATGTTGATACACCTCTTAAAGGGGGCATGAATACTCCACTGTATGAGAGTGACTTCAGTGGGATCACACCCAGCCATAAAGCCATGGCAACACCCAACACTGTACTAAGTTCACCATTCCTCACACCAGCACATGGAAAAGATGGTAAGATTATTCTACAAGAGAGAATTAATTAAAACTAGACTAGGGGGATTATGGTACTGCATGGGCCAGAATTTATGACTAATGACAAAATGAATAAAAAACACAGGCAAAATTATTGGAACTTTATCTTGATGCCGGTGCAAAATCTTTCAAAATGGCACTGGACATGATAAAAATAATGTGAGAAAATTGCATGTTGACTTCTGTTAATGAAACTCCTGTACAGGGTACACTAAACATATCATAATTTTTTGGTTAAATATTTTAAAGATAAATATTTCTTTGTAATTGTACAACAGTAAAAATCATGACATTACAGTTTCAAATGTGTGGCACTGGCAAAGCTTAGCTATCTTGATAAGCACACATTTTTGAAACTGTTTGAAAAAATGATTAAGCAATGCAATAATCAAACTATACTTGTACTTGTATCCAAAAATAAATAGTACTAAAAATAGGTATATGTACATGTATACCAAATGTTGAAAAATTTAAAAAAAAGAAAAAGTTTAATTATAAAAAGTTTAATTGATTTCTTTTAATTCTTGATTATAGGTGGTCTAACACCCAGGGTTGGCGGTAACAAAGGGGGTCCCATGCAGACCCCTACCCCACGCCGTGACAAGCTGAATATAAACCCAGAGGATTTAGAATATGAAGATCAACAATATGCTTCTTTCCAACAGGTAGACATGACCAACTAATATTTAAACATATTTTTCGTAATAATGAATTAGAAAAACAGAAATATATACCATGTACTATGTAGTTAGCTTAGATTCTAACTGCAAGACATTTATATTATTTTCAATAGCCACATACAATTCTCTACTAAAAGACTCATCTTAATTTGCATGCTTATATGTTTACAGCAAGAGTTGAAAGCTGATTTAAAACGTGGATTGCGAGGTCTCCCGAAGCCTAAAAATGATTTCGAGATTGTTGTCCCAGAGGGTGAGGAACAAATTGACACATCTGACCCTCAGGGTGGAATTGTACCTGACCAAGCAGATGTTGATGCTGAGAAGGATGCAGTTGCGGCAGCTAAGCGAAAGCTGGAGATGCGACTGCGGTCACAGCCAGTGCAACGAGATCTCCCAAGACCGTCAGAAATGAACCATACTGTACTGCGGCCTATAGATGCCCGCGATCCACCTCTCACTGATCTACAAAAGGTAGTAATAAATAAACATGTGCATGCAAATGTACAAACATCTTTTTATCCCACTTTTCAAAGTGGCTTGCTTGCTTCTGTTTGTCTGGGACTTTAGATAGGTGCCAAATAAATCTAGTCATCAAAATTCTGGAAACCACTTACCTGGTAAACTTGAACATTAACAAATGCAAGAGCAGATGTACCAAGATCTGATTATGTTTTGCATGCTGGGTAAATAGCATGGCAGCCATTTTGAATTTTTCGTTAGAATAGTACAATATTTATTGCTATGTGTCTTGTTACACTTATAATCATATGAAATGAGACTGTGTGCTTTCATGCTTGTAATGTATCATAATGTAATGTATTGAGCCTATGTACCCAAAGCTTAGATCTAATTAAATCTCAGTTCAACATTTCACAACTTTTATTTCACATATAAAAGTTCTATTTATACTTATGTCTGTATCTCTACTCTTTAGGCTGAGGAGCTTGTAAAGAGAGAGATGGTCACAATGATGCACTATGATGCTCTCTTGACCCCCACCCCTGCACAACAAGGTCTCACCCCTGGGGCTAAGAAAACAGGGGCTGTGAACAGAGCCAATCATGCAGGCTACTTAGAGAAGTACCCCTATGAACAGGTCTCAGAGGAAGAAATAGAACAGGTAAGCTGCTCATATATGTATATTTATTTTATAAATTAATTTTAATGTAAGAGAAATATGAAATATCCCCGGGGATCAACATTCGTTCAGTGTAAAATAGTACTCTGGGTGGAAGTTCGCTGGGGGTCTTGAAAAAATGAATTTTATGGTTCAAATAGGTGGCAAGTTATTCCAGGGCTGTTTTCCAATTTTCCTTGCATTGAATTATAATTGTATGAAATTTTAGGCAAAGATGTTGCTGTATGATGAAATGAGTCATGTCAAACAAAAGATGGCGCATGGTGATCTCTCTATTGAGTCCTACAGTCAGGTCTGGGATGAATGTTACTCACAGGTATGGATTCTATACATTCTACTTTGTTTATTTAGGTTTCATCATTAATATTCATTCATCTCACTATAGATATATGGAATTATGTGATGTACATGTATAACATCACGCTTTCAATGTTGTATATTGAACAAATATTTCACTCTATTGAGGTGAATACCTGTACATCTTTCACAAGTGATATTCCACGACGCCTGAATAGAGTGAAATATTTGTTTTATTATATCACTGTCTAGCTAAACATCCCTAATATTATTAAGTCATAGGTTAACATTGAAATACATTGAATCTACTCGGTTCGTCTGCCATTTTGACTTACACTGAACTAAATTATTTACACTGAACGAAAATAAATTCTTTGAAAATTCCCGGGAGCGTGGGATATCGCTAGATATCTCACGGTTGTCTTATCTGATTAGCATTGCCATTGAATATCGCAAGATATCCCACGACATGTGACCCGGTTTTGACCAATCATACTGTCGCTAGCTAGATAGTGATATAATAATTATTGTTTGTACATGTACTATGCATATGTTTGTATATATATGTATCTACGGATTCCCGTTTCCTTATACTACATTGTATTGGATATAAGTCAAACAGGATATCTCTACAAATGACAAGATATTAAAACATGTAGTCTGTTCTTCAGGTTCTCTATCTACCAGGACAGAACAGATACACGAGGGCTAACTTGGCCAGTAAAAAAGACAGAATTGAATCATTAGAAAAAAAATTAGAGGTAAGTTCAGTGTTTCACTTGATACTTTAAGTAGGTGGTTCTGCCAAGAAAATTCCAGCGTAAGGACTGTTCATTTGAAATTCAGTTTCATACATTTGTTACAAAAACTATGCATATCAGCTGTCCAAATCTGATGTGTCATACTGTAGTAAGGGGGTATGGTGTTTCTCCTAATTTTATCCTTTAAGCAAATTCTGATATTAAGTGAACTTATTTGACTAAAAATGCAAAATTCTCTAAACAGACAAATTATTTATTGGCAACATAAATTAATATTTTGATTATGCTAAACCAAAATTTAATTGCAAGCAAACATTCATGTACAAGTTATTATTAAATTATTCATTGTTTGTTTTATTTCAGTTGAATCGAGGTAATATGACAAAAGATGCAAAAAAGGCTGCAAAGATGGAGAAAAAATTGAAGATATTATTGGGAGGTTATCAGGTATTATTCACTTCATTTTCAATTTTAATCAATCCAACTTCAAATCCAAATTACTAGAATCCTAAGCAGTTTTGATAAAATACAAAGATAGTAGTAAAAAGCCAGATCTATTCTGCATCAAATGGTACTAAGACCATTAAGTACCTGTCATGTATGACAAAAAGCTTAACCTACTCTAAAAATGGACCTGTAAAAGTGGTTCAACTGATACCTGAGCAGTAGAGCCAACAAAAAGTTCTAAAAAGCAAGTCCCATGTACTGTGTATAGAACCCCTATTCTTACACTATTGAAATTGATTCTAGCAATACTGTCCCACATAAATCTACTTGTTTAGACTCAATAAACTTGAGTTCTTCTGAGAAAATGAGGATTTCAGCAATGGTTATTGACTTTACATGGGGATACAATTGACTTCAAAGCTGCATATCATCAAGTAGAAGTTTCATTGCTGATCAAAAGGTTCTTCGGAACCCATTTCTCGAGAGGAAGGTACCAACTAAAAGTTAGGGAAAATTATGCAAAAGTATGAAGAACAAGTTTGAATTTGAACATTAATAATGTTTTGAATACAAAAAACATCCAATGTGTCATTCCTACTTGAATGCTAACTTGGCACAGTACTGATTTTAACACCTTTCATTAAAGTCAAGATTGCTCAGTCATCCATGTAAGTTACATAATGATCTAGGCACCATTGGATGGAGGACAAACTAGGCCTTTTACTGCTACGTTCATATTTTTAAAACATTACTCCGAATTCTAGTATCCTGGCTTTGAAGTTGGGTATACTTTTTTGTGGACGCCCCGTAGATGTGGTTTTATACCTCAAATGATAAATGTAGCGTGGCTCACTACTGCTATATATTATTGCTACTGTATTCAGCCATGGGGTTGTGTTATTGACTCAATAAAGGTATTGAATAACCATGAGGACAATTTGTCATTTATCATGCTTTTTAAAACTCACTTTAAAGTGAACCTTTTTGATTTTGAAAATATAGACATCAAAAGATACATATTTCGGTGGACTTCTGGTTCAATGTTTTGTAATTGAGTCGACTTCAGTTTCCGCCATGACTGTATATTGCTTAACTATGTTTATATTTGGGATTAGAGGTGGTAACATATGATTGATGAAAGACAATGTAATATTGATATCTTGTGATTCCAGTCTCGTAACCAGGCACTGATTAAGATGTTAGCTGAATGTAATGACCAACTAGAGCAAGCCCGAGTTGAGAAGGCGACATTTGAGAGTCTACAACAGCATGAAGTTGGAGCCATTCCCAAACGCATGGAGGTACTGGAACTAATTTCTACAAATAATGACATGCTTCAAGGTTCATTTTATTGTGGTGGTCATAATGATATGAACAGTTCTGAATATGTCAAATAAATGAAGTTACACAGGATTGCATAGAGTGAAATTAAAAACGCAACCTGTTACTGTAAATTGCTTTAATTTGGCGTTATTTTATTTGGCGGATTGGACAAATTTTGAAATTTTGGATTGACCATCAGTCGTATTACACACTTTACAGCTCACCACCGATAAAGCAATTTTTCTCTCCTGGTATTAGATTGTTTTATCTAAACCAGCGGGGACTCTGTAAACCTTTAGAAAATGTTTCAAATTGAAATTTTATTAATGTTTCACTCAATATTTTCTATTGTTCAAAGTAATACATGGAAAAGGCACTGAAAAAAATCTCAACATAACATAGTCCAGATAAAAATGTGTGTTTAATTCATTTTATTCTCCTAATCTGAAAGTGTAAAGAGGCAGGATAAAGAGGATGTTTAATACAGCCAAACCTCATTTTACAAAGATGGTAGTATTAAAACAAAATATGGAATATTTTTGTTTCATTTCAGTCTCTTTCTGAAGATGTAAAAAGACAGGAAGAAAGAGAGAAGGAATTACAAAAACGATTTGCTGACTTACAACATGATAAAGACAGATTAGAGAATGGACTCTACTGACACTAGTGACATTGTTAACACAATTCTTGGAATAACATGTGCATTAGGGAATGTGACCTAGTTCTCTGATGTGGTCAATTAACTAGAAATGACGAAGTAATTACAAGTTTGTGAAAATGGATTCAATCAATTTTACTTGACTTGACTGTTATTTATCAAATTGTGTCCTCCTTCGACTTTAGTAAGTCATGTTAAAGATAAATTGACTGCTCATAAGTAAGTCATAATTCCTAGCTTGAGTAAACCTGACACATTTGAATTGAGTCCATTTTAGACATGGAGATAAAACTACAATTACTTCACATAATAGTTTTCAGCATATGTCCATAAATATAAAATATCCAGAAAATTGAATATTGTGTCGTCTCTGTGAAGTAGGGTCTACTAGTATTTGGAAAATATTTTTCTTATTGGCTAGCACTGGTTGCATCCAATATGAAGGCATTAGTTTCACAAATATTTGGTATAAGTTACTAAGTGTGTAAGCACATATTTGTAGAATTATTGGCACTAGTTGAATGAATGGTTTGTACTAGTTGAATGAATGGTTAGTACTAGTTGAATGAATGGTTTGTACTTGTTGAATGAATGGTTAGTACTAGTTGAATGAATGGTTTGTACTTGTTGAATGAATGGTTTGTACTAGTTGAATGAATGGTTTGTACTAGTTCAACACTTAGTACTGAAAGCCAGTTGTTGTAAACAAGGTTAGTACTAGCCTTGCCCAAGTCGGTCTCTTTTACTATCTGATTTCTATTATGACCGCCTTGTACCAAAGAGAAAGCCACGTGCTTTACCGACTCAATGTTTATGTCGGTAAAATTTGACCAATCAACGACGGCCCAGGGGTTCGTTTTTCGTACGATCGTAACTTACGATTCCGAGAAATCCATGTGTCTCTGTTTTAAGGAACAATGACTTGCGACCAAATCGTAAGTTACGACGGTTTCAAAAACGGACCCCTGCAGCGTTAGCTCATTATTATGCACGGTCAAAAACAAGTACACTTTTCGTCGGGACTTTTCACGAACAAATCTTGCATGAATTCATCATGAAAATACAAATATTTTATCAGATAAATATCAATCAGAGTTAAGTGGATGCCAGACATCGATCGGTAACCGGAGGTTAGAAGATTTCAACAATAAACGTTGAAACGATCGCTGAATTCAAATGTAGACTGAGATTCAATCACTGATCGACGACTACATGACCCGCTACATTGGACTAGGTCTTGCATTTTCATCGCGAGATTAGTTTTAGATCCATTGCATGATTTAATTTATATTAATGACTCTTACATTCCCTATGTACATTTAATTACATAATGAATATATTGTAACTCTCAAGAAACGATCGATCAGATCATTGAATTTCAAGTCGTAGACGGGAAGATTGTTTTGCTGTACAGCTCAACCTGATAACGTTTTGATTGGTCAATCAGCCTGAAGTCACACGTCGTGTCCACGCGTATATCTGTTAATCAATAAGGTTTCGCGATACCCCTGATAGCGTAGGTATTATGGAAATCTCGAAACCGTTGAATATCCCAGCATAATAGCAGCGGAGATGTATTGGATTGTACAAGGCGGTAATAATTCAAGATCAGATAAGTAAAAAATACCGACTTGGGCAAGGCTAGGTTAGTACCAAAATGTTAACTAATTAAATTAAAATAGGATTCCATTCTATGTTTTCATTAACTTTTCTTCATAATATTAGTAACTGAATTTGAAATTATGGAATAAAACTTTTATCATGTATTCAATGATTTGATTCTTAAAGAGCAACAATAAATAAGAAACTCATAAAACAAATTGTTATGTCACTTAATTGGTTTTGGTTTTGCTTAAGATATGAGAGCTGTCAAAATGACATTTTTGACTTCCACAATAAATAGTTCTGAAGATGGCAAATGTAGGCTGCCAAAATGTCAATAATGTAATTTTTTGGGGTAGTGTATGGACAATTAATTAGTTTGTGAATTAGATAACCTACCAAATAAACCTCTTCAGGGTGGGGAAATGCACTCACTAGGTTACTCTAATTACTTTCATATTTTGCATAACACATATCAAGAGCCTTGTGACAAAGTCTAGAATATCTGACAATTCGTGGGATTCATAAAAAAACTTAAATTCTGGTTCTCGCACACAGCACACTCAAAAACAAGAGAAAGTTTTAATGTTTTATTATATGAAACAGCATTCATTTATTTCCCAACTTGAATATTAATATTTCTGTCACATTCAAGTAAAAGTTACACAAATTAGGCAACAAGATCTGAATGTTAATGTACTGAACATTCACTCAACTTGAGTATTCACACTGTCTTGGGGGTATCTGCAAGCTCAAAATACTAAATTTCTTTCAAGAGACCAATTTCACGGGTAGTATCCAATGCCCCGCTATGATTTCAAAGTCGCGAGCAAGTTCCCGCTGAAATCACGAGCATAGTCCTGTTTATTTGCATCACTTTGGAAAATGGACCAAAAGGGTGAAAATACTTATTACTGTTCTTCCATACTCCAGCAATACTTTAAAAACAGATACATTTGACAAACAATGACATAAAAAATCATTCTTCTTCACTGGCATTGAAAAGAGGGGCGTCAACATGCACGTTTGCATAATTTACTGTTCATATATTACTTTTATCGTTAAAATAAAGGCAATAAATACGATTTACATACTCCATAATACATATTGGATCAATATGGTCTGTATTGATAAGTAACTGTGCAATTACGTCTGCCATGTGGGTCGAAATACATCATTAAAGGTGTTTCAGTGGCCCCGCTGAAAACATGAGGAGGTCCCGCTTCGATCGCGAGGAAAGCTTCATTATTATTATTATTCTATGAAGATATTGAGTTTCTTTATATGAACGTACAAGAACGTGCCAATAACGCATTAAAACCATTATAACATATCAATGGCAACATCGCAACTATTTCTTCTGCAACTTCAGGCAGTTTGATCCATCTGTCAGCGTCGTCATTAAATAAAATTCTTAAATGTGTAAACAGACTTTGTACACTTGTACAGTTAAATGTAAATTCTATATAATTCTATGTTCCAAGGAATTTCTGAGGACACATATATTTCATTGGCTTGTTTATTCTTCTGATCATCCATTCTTGCTTGCATTCGTCCGACCGTTCGTTCGTTCGTTCGTGCATGCGTTCGTCCGACCGTACGTTCGTGTGTGCATTTGTTCGACCTTCCGTTCGTTCGTTGGTGCGTTTGTTCGAAATTCGTTCGCTCAGGCATGCGTTCGTCTGACCGTTTGTTTGTTCGTTCGTTCGTGCGTTCTTTTGACCATCCGTTCATGCGTGCGTTCGTCTGGTCGTTTTTGCGCGTGTTTGTCTACAATGTTTGTTTGGTATCAACAAATGATGTATTCATGAAACTGGGTAAAATAGTGGATCAAGCTGGGTACGATAGTGGGAGATTTTCACGGTATAATCAGGATTCATTCCATTTTTGAGAGACACTTGCTCCTGTTTTCAGCGGGACCTCCTCATGTTTTCAGCGGGGCCTCCTCATGATTTCAGCGGGGTCTTTGCTTTTTTTGCTCCGCTAGAAGCTGGGCCTTGAGAGATATGATAAAATTGAAATATAAAGTGTTCTGTAAAGCTTTAGGAAGTGAAACTCAGTACATTTTGATTTCAAATCACTACCATTATTTCAACCACATGACAACGTCGTTCTTCACCTATAACGTATAGAAATATATAGGTAAAGATTCAAGATGATACTTTTCTCTCTTCAATTGTCAAATAAAGAACCACAGAACGACCGCTCGTGATACTTTTTTCCATCAGTTGCCTTTTCAGTCTCAATACCATGTAATCATTGCGGAAAATTAAAAAGAAATTGTTTTGTACATCATACAATTCAAGTAAACAAAAGACAACCCATCACTTTTTTATTCCGCGCGATTTCAGCGGGAACTTGCTCGCGACTTTAAAATCATAGCGGGGCTTCGGATACTACCGGTGAATTTGACCAGCACATTTAATAATTTGCTCCTGGACATTAAAAGTGCAGTGGCCAATATCAATTTAAATATTTAATAAAATTCTTTGCAAAAAGCATTTATATTTTCCTCTGGCCTTTAGTAGAAAGACAGCTTAATGCATCAGACATTATTTGACAAGCAGTCAAAACGTTTACATGCATTTAAGATTACACAAATATAACATTAGGCACCGTACCATACAATAACAAAAATATAGAATGTTCAAAAATTCTTCAATCATGAACTACATATACTGTAAAAACTGATGTCTCTTGAAAGCCCATTGCATATCTCAGGATTCACCAATTAAAGCATCATAAACTACACTATCGAACCAAGTGCCCGATAGATGGCGTATATCTAGCATTATACATAGCTGGTTCTAATAATTAAAAGCACCTTTGGAATGACGCACATGACTATATTCTGCACAATATACTAGTACATAGTATGTAGTATTAAAATCTGGTGCAGAAACAGTATATTATGTAGTGTTATATTTATAAACAGTAAAAATAAACCCTACAACCTTAACAGTATATTCACACATGACAAAGGTGTCTCAGCCGATCAGCTCTAGTAAGTATCTAGACTACAACGTTTCGAGATCAAAAATGGATGAAATGAGAAATTCAAGGACATCTTTTCGTTTTAGCTAAATATAACAATTATATGTAAGTGGGTGTCCATCATCTTAATCCTTGCATAGTGTACTGTATGTACAGGCTGATACAAAAAAGTGCCACCCACATAATGTTGCCTGACATTTTTGTGTCACCCTGTACATGTATTTATGCAAGTATAGTCCAAGCTACCCATTTCTAACTAAACTGCTCCTCTATACGTCTCTATGAATTACAAAAAGCATTTTTACATTCCTTATGCATTAATGTACATTATATTATGTCATGTGTATAAGTAAAGTACAGTACATAAAACAGCTATAGGATTTCATCAACATGCTTGGAAATCATTGACATGTTTGAAATATTATTGACATGTTTGTAATATTATTGACATGTTTGGAATGTTACATTCTATGGGATGTAGAAATTCCCTAAGATCTTTCATGATGAACCTCAAATATTTAAAGGATCATCTCATAACTGGAATATTATTTCAGATCTTACATAGTTACATTTTTTATATATTCAGTCTTATGACCATGACATACTGATTTAATTACTAAATTACATATTGCATATGTAAAATATTTTATAGATTTATAAAACAAAAAAATGAGATTCATGGAATGTGGATTTCAAATCTAGTAAATATCAAAACATTATTCACTCTTGCACATAAATATGGCATATATCCAACTTTCAATATTTTTACCATGATCAACAGGCCTGTAGCCAGGGGGGTTCGATGGGTTTGAGCAACCCCCCTGCGAAAAAAATCTTTCAAACTCATGCAGTTTTACACCATTCTGAGTACTTTTTAAGTGATTTTGGCCATTTTTTTACCCAAATTATCACAAGTGAACCCCCCTGGAATTTTTCAAAACGTGAACCCTGGCTACGGGCCTGATCAATATGTTGCCTCTAGTGTTTATACTGGATTAAAGACTGCAGTCAGATCATATTCAGAGGTTAAAGATTAAGTCTTGGTACAAGGTGTGCCTTATTATACATTAAACTGAATTTTGCAATGCACCAGTTTATCATTTTAGAGTGTCTAGAGCAAAAGAATGTGTTAAAAATAATCAATCCAGCACCTTTTGTGTTAGCTTTTAACTTTGTCCCAATACCTATTCGATCAATGCCTCTCTCCCCTCATATGGCAGTGTGGAGCTAACCTCAGATACAATCCAAGAGATAATTTGACACAACATAGTCATGTCCCAATGGCCATGTTTCAGCTATTTATTCTTGTTGCTTACTTCACATCATTTCTTTGTAACGACTCAAATGAAGCGTGATATTCTTGCATTTCCGAGTATCAGTTCATGTCACATGCCTGATGTCATAAATTGCTGCTCCTGTTACACCATTCCCTGGTTATGAAAACCACTAGATTAGATCAGGAGTCATTTCACATTATATCACCCCTGAAACTCCACCAAAAACACTTGTTCTTTAGTGTGTGTTCCATTCTAGAGAAGAATACTAGCGTATCCTTTTTGAGCTTGGGCACATTTGTCAAAAGTATCCATTATTTTATTATATCGCCTGTCAATAGCTTGGTAATGTTGTTCCACAAGAATAGGATATAAGGGGTCTTCTTTTAGGGCATCGCGGAGAGCGTCACTAAGTTTATTTTCCTTGAATTCTTGGAGTTTTTCGAACAGTTTTCTCCTAATCCTGAAAGAAAATAATCATATATTTTTACAGGAAGAAAAATATTTAGAAGCAAAGTGAATTTACTTCCACATTTGACATTTACAATGACATGCAATTATATTTCTTTTATTGACAAAAGTGTCAAAGCAGGACACATTAGTCTATGTACAAACATTGATACCAAACAGAGGCATGTATTTATACAATTAATTGGTCTACACTCAGGGCTCTCACCAGAAAATATTTAGGGTGTGGTGGAAACATCCTCAGCATAACCATTCAATTATGATAAATGATATTTATGTTTAGAGCCAAAAAATTCTAAAAAGGAAGCCCAATGTCCTATTTAAGAACCCCTATTCTCTATTCTTACTTTTCAAAATGGATTCTACCAATATTATCCCACATGAATCTACTTGTTGAGACGAAACCAACTTGAGTTCTTCTGCTTCACAATTATATTGATATTTATAAACATTTTAAATCTCAAAAGAAGTGGTTTTTATTTGACATGAACAATATTCTCCTTGTACTCATTTGTGAAATATGTTTTTGAAATTGGGGTACAAATATTTAGCTCATAAACTGCACAGCCTTCGGAAGACGAGTCATATTCACCCCAGTGCAAGAATAAATGATTATCTCCCATAGGATAAACCCATTGTCAATATTCTTTGAATAACTCCTATACTATATTGATATTATAACATACCTCTGATGATGTATAGTGCAAAGTGTACACAAGACAGCGGGCCAATATAAGTTTTGAAAAGTCCGCGCCCGCTAACTTTCTGATTGGTCAAGGCCCTGACGTCATAACCAATCAATCGAAGACAAAACTGAGCGAGCAATTTTTCTAAACTCATTTCAATCATTTTCAAACCATTTGTTTGTCATTCTATGTTTGTCAATTCTATAAGAAAACGGTACTCTCTGACCAGACTAGATCATCATAGGTATGTTATAAATCGTTTATGTCACTATCGTGGCACATATGCCCTCGTATCTCAGAGATCAATGTCCCTCACAAGGTCGGGCCATATATCACTGAGACCTCGGGCATATATACCACGATAGTGACATAACCTCTAAATATATACTCACGTGCAACACTGATATATAGGAGCTAAAAATACTTGATCTTCATCTTTCCGATGAACACAAAACCTGGAATATAAACATTGAATATTCATAAGTAGTTATCCCTTTTAAAAATATATATGTATAATATGCAGTGATCTCCCCACCAAGTGGGTGCAGCACCCACCTGAGATTTTAATAGGCTTGCATCCGACAGAAAATCCATTTGCACCCACTTGAAAATGAGAAAAATCATGAAAAATGGGCGTATTTTGACCAATTTCGGTCTGAATTGTGAAAATGAGAATTTTGCACCCACTTGAGATAAAATCATGTGGATAACACTGAGATATGTTATATTTTATCAGTTATTCCTCATCTCATTGGCCTATGTGACATGCTAAATACAATTAGAAATCAAACTTTTGACAACTGGAAATTGGGATTTGGTTTAGTTAAATTCTTGTCCCGATAATGCTATGTAAAATGTGCCAGTCCTGGTTGACTCTTTCCTTGAAATGTTAATGCTATCAATGAGGTGGCTGTTGACTGTTTCATGCATTCAATTAAGTACATCCATTTGATATGATTAAAGATTTGCCCAAAACTTGAGTTTTTGGTTTAGATTTAGCATATCTATAAGATAACTCCTGAGTGAGATTGTTCACGACGTACAGAGTGAGATTTCATATGTATGAATGAGCATGTACTTACGTTCTCCCATGATCTAGCCTCACTGTGAGACCATGAGCCTCACTATGATCTGCGATGGTATAGTGTTTTGTGTCGTAATGATATGTCAAATAGTCAAAGACAGCAAAATCAAAGAGATCTCGGAAGTATTCTGGGTTACCATATGGAGGTATCTTCGGGATCATATTACAGAATGTTTTGTTATTAAATCCAATACTACCCCAGCTGGAAAAAAGATTTTGGCTGTTAAGAGTTATCGGAGAAGTACATGTAGTAAGGGGAGGGGGGGGGGGGGTCATCTCAAAGATGTATTTGTATTTTGCTAATTGTATTTTGATGATTCATCGAAAATCATATATGTACAATTTTGTTAACAAAAATTTCATAGTTTCACTCGAGACACAATGTTGGTCAATTCTAATATTCAACAGAGCAAGCCACAGTAGTTCAAGTGAAACAATTGTTTAAAACTACCTGGTATAGCTACATGTCAATTTGTTGCTTCGGGTAACAAAATCTTTGGTTTGACTTTCCATGGTTATATTATTCATTTTACAAGAATTTAAAACTAAATTGATAATTAAATGTTAATAATCGACTTATAAAATTTGTAAGTGGATTACACAATTTTTGGAGGTTCAGTGAGATTATGGTTTATCATAGCATGCCTTGTGTAAGTTAGAAGTCACAGGGTTGAAATATGTGCAGCTGTAGATACGTTTTAACTTCTAAAGAAAATATGTTATAAACAGGATGTGGGCTAATATATATATGTTCACCATGCATCAATGGAACAATATTATGAAATCAAAAATAGGATTCTGTTTTTTGGCTCAAATGGTGATCCTATGGAATCACCCACTTGTCCTCCTGTTATTCCATCAATTAAATTTAACTGTGACTGCTAAAATGCTGATCATTCAAAGTTGTGACGTAAACTGCCGAGATTGGCTTTACCTTTTGTAAAAGAACAGCTGAGGAAAAGTAAGAGTGACTTACATTCTATCACGCTGAATGGTGGACCAAGGGGTGTAGTCTGGGGGTTTAGTGTGCATGTGCAGTTTCCGTGGTAACCAATAGACAACAGAGCCAGGGAGGAGGTCACCAGCGGGACATGCTACTGTGTCTTTATCACAATAGCGACATTTGTCTCGATAACACAAATGATCTACAAAGAGGGAAGTGAGTTAGAAGGATGGTCATGCTGGTAAGATGAAGTCTAGTGCAGACCCTCTGAAATTGGCTCATATGATTTGGATAATCACCATGTTTTCCTGTGGCTTTGCACCAGACAATGTGTATTTTCAAGGAGTATCAAACATTAATTTATTTTAAACAGTGCTAACTGTTTCAAAACAAAACAACATTTCCTATTATAGTTTTGATAGCGTAAACTCCAAAATTGAACCATTGCAGCTTACAAAATAATCAATTAATTTTGATACTCCTTGAATATATTAGATGAAAAGATACTTAACCAAACTAATAGATAACATGCAATAATACTCTGGAACCTCCAAACAAGACATGGCTAAATATATTCAGACTCGTTCCATTCTTAAGGAATGAGAAGGAACAAGACCGCTTGCTTACAATATATTGTAATATTTTATATGCTAATTGCACACTTTTTCACTTCATTTTGCATTTTTTCAAACTTCACAAATTGATATTTTGCATGCCATGTGTTTGGAGGTAATACCACATCATGCACCACATCATGCACCACAACATAGAATCTTACTATTTTTTTCGTCTGGGAATTTGAAAGGGCATAAATAGAGGGCGCCTGGTATGCTGTTTCAGCTTCCGGGGAACCCAGTAAACAACTGAGCCGATAATACGCAAATCTCTCGGACAAAGTTGATTTTCCGTCTTACAAAATGGACATTTATCAACATAACATACTTTGTCTGGGTCTACAAAAGTAAATGAATCAGGGGTATTTTTCTTGAAAATATTCTTTTTGTGTAGCATTGTATTTCAAATCAACAAACCATGCTTCCTATTTAATGCAAATTTCATGCAAGCAAAATGCAGGCTACAAAACAGTAATCTATGGGTAAAAGCAACAATATGTGCCACTTGCAGATACAAGAATCAAAGAAATGCAATTTCTAATTCTATAGCTATGTAGAAGTATGCAATTAAAAGGACAAATAAGCACCATCTTATGTATGTAGGTCCATACAATGTCCAGTTTTTTTTATGAAAAGAACACATGCGTTTACATACCTTCCTTAATGACTAGCTTGCGCATAAATTTAGGAGTGGCCGCAGGAATAATCTCAGTTCTCAGATTCACCTTGCGTCCAACTGCATATGGGGCATTTCTTATATCCAGAAGTCTGGAGAATATAGTGAAACAGGACATTGAGCTAAACATTTGTTAAACATTGTCAAAATATATGTGCAATGCATATTAACAGCTAGAGATTTCCTCTTCATTGTACAACAGTTATAAAGTGAATAATGGTCTTACCTCAGAAGTCTCCATGCTGCAATTTCACTACTTGGCATCTCGTAACCATAGTTACAGTAACCGTGAGCCTTTGGCTCTCCCATTTTCTCCCTGGAACATGCATATACCTATTAGCTATAGGTGAATTATACAATAATGCAAGCTAACATATAATTTCACATCTTGCATTAGTTACGTGCTTTATCATGGAGATAACATACAAGTTATTTATCCCATGATACTATTACTTCCCGGTGAATAACACCTGGAAATATTTCTGATTTTGAATAAATTGTATTGTCCCACCCAATCCCACCTATGAAAATCACATTCACCTCCTAATCCCACTCACGAAAATGGTATTCACCTCCCGGGAAGTTTTGCAAAACAAAGTTTCCTATTTCATTCAGTTGGATCAATATAGCATGCTATTTTGGCAAAAATTGTATAAATGTTATACAATAATTGTTTATGTTTCAAAATGTCATATTTTGTAGACTATATATATAGTCTAGTTTTGTTCCATACAAAATTCAGATATGGATTATGATCTTATGATTTTATGAGAGTTATGAACATCATGGGATAAACAGCTTATTTACTAGCTGGGATTAAATATGGGTATATTCTTCATGACAATATGATATTTCCATCTTGCCCTCTGGGAATATCACCCATAATAAAATATAAAGTCTAGTTATAAAATAAAACCCATTGAATCCCTTCCAGGAAATAACCTCTTTATTTTCAACCATGCTTTAATGATAAGAAAGTCATGTTCTCAATAAGCACGCAAAAAGATACTGTATTTTAGGAACTAAGTACATGTACAATATTAGTACAATGTACTAATAATAACAAGCACTGAATGTTTTGTTATTATAATATCGTAGTAAATAGTACTTATAATTGGTTATGTCCTGGTACCTATAATGTCTTGGTACTCAATTACAATAGCTTGGTACTCACATGAGTGGCTTAAATACAGCTTTCTGCCCACCTGCAAGTGTAAGGATCCATTTACCAGATGTCCCTGCTTCAAAGTTGTCCAAGTCTAATATATCAACTTTCACAATTGGGGCTTTATGTAGAGCATCAAGTACGCCATCTACCTCAGGAGAGTCTGGGTATAACTCATCACTGTTTATATTCTTATTAGCCCACATCCATATATTGTGATATTTCTCCACCACCTCTTGATTATAAGCTGGGCATGGTTTAGATATGGTGGAGTCCACTAGGGGACTCTCATCGCCCTGACTGTTTACATTAACACTATTACGCGGATGAATATTGTTACTTCCTGTATTTATAAAGTCTTGATCTGATTCAACATTGGCTCTGTTACCATATTGCACTTCCTCTTCATATAAATCACGACGTGACCTGTCTTTGTTTTGTGACAGAAGTCTGCCATTTAAGGATATAATTTGTATCACGAGTAGAACAGCCATAAGGGAGGCCAGCAGAGTAATCGGCCAATTGATACGCATGCGTTTGATCTTTGTAAAGAAATCCATATTGCTAGCTACTTCAAATGTGTATTCTATCTCGGGAATTGTAGTGAAGCTGAAATAAAACATTAGAATATGGAGTCTTAAACATGATTTAGCACATGATCTAAAATATATAGCTAGAGTCCATTTTACTGTATAACTGCGTCAGTAAAAGCTAAAAAATAAGAAATCAAAATATCATTTTGCAATAATATATGGAAAAATATATTCCTATTGTACATGAATGACATTTGTATATCTTGGATTGCTTCTAGTTTGGCTTATAAAGTGTGTGGCCTCTTATATTTGGATGTTTCCCTGCCATGTTATTTTCAATAAGATTAACATGAATTCTTCAAATTAAAAGACGGCACAGGCTTATTGCACAAAAAACTAAGAAATCTGAAATATGCAAATGTCATTCATGTACATTATGAATATACTTTTCCATATATTATTGCACAATGGTCTCCCAATTTCTTATTTTTGCCGTTCTACTGACGCAATGAAGCAGTGAAATGGACTCTAATATGACCTTATTCTCAAGAATCAGACTAGAAGGACCTGGTCAAATATTATTTGACAGATACTGCAGAAAATATTCATCTCACTTGCTAGGAATATATTAGTACACAGATGCACCTGTAGGCCTTTATTGTCTATGATAGACGGGTACCTTACAGGTGCATTAGTTGCTATATTAAATTTTTCAGATCTGGACCTATAATTAACTTAACCTGTTCTTATTTTTTTGTCACTAGTTTGTCCATGAGTCAAAAACAATAAATACTGATAATACAAGAGCAAACGTGCCGTCCTTCCATTTCTAATTTTTTTAAATTGATATGATATGAAATCCATATCATTCTGATACTATCTTATTTTGTTGTAGATTTAGATTTTAAATACTTGAAACTGAATGTTTTTAAAAAGTACACTTCATCCAAAATAAAATATTGTGAATTCGTTAAGATAAAACTGTTAATAAGAATTGAATTGATGATTTGTTATTAATCAATAGGAACTATTGTTCCATGGACTCTAAATACATTAGATCTATACCCTGAGACACAGTCAAGTTATTTTATGGAGAAATTGCAGTTCTTTTTGGAAAATCTGGATTTCTCTAAAAAAGAAATGTGGGAACTGGAATTCTAAAAAAAACTGGGAGAAAAATAGGGGTTACAAAAACTACATTAACAATTCAAAAAAATCGGGAGAAAATTGAGAGTGCTAAAAATAATTCATCAGAAAATCAAGATTTACAATCAATAATTGGGAGAAAATCATGCGGGATTGCAAAGAATAATTGAGAGAAAATTTAGATTTACAAAAAAATTATTGCAAGAAAATTGGGATGACTTAAAATAAATCCGAGAAAAAATCAGGGTTTACTAAAAATAATTTGATTCACCCATTTCAAAATGGGTTAATTGGGCTTATTACTATCATTATTGCAAAATGATAAAAGGTAAAAGCACGCCCGGTGATCGTAAAAAATGGATGGAGGGGGGGATTAGGCGATTTCTGCAAGAAAACTCAACAAATTTGGAAGATTTATTTTTTCAAGAGAAAATTTACAACTGAATTGCCAAATGAATAGGCGCAGTGCATGGTAAAATATGTTAGGTCATCTAGTATTTTTTTTGAACTGATACCCTTCTAAGATATGAGATCTATTAAAAAAGGCGCATCATCACCAACGTGCAAAAGTCAATGGTTTTGCTATAAATCGGGCAACAATGGTCTTCCAGACCTGTAATAAATAGGTATAAGAGACATTATTATCACAATACTAATGACATTGCTCACTTTTTAAAGTTGGTTTCCATGCGTTATACAAAAAATAATCGAAATAAATTGATAGTGGATGGAGGGGGGGATTGGATGGAGGGGGGGATCACGTGTATGTAAGACATGATAAGACATGCTGCTTGAATTTATTCTTATGACTCCAAATTTTCCCATTTTTCATTCTCCAGAGATATAATATCCAGTTTCTTACTGGGGTACTGAGTTTAGTTTTTTCAAATACACGAGTTCTTGTGAATTTGTTCCATCGTAAAGACATATTAATCCCCCCCTCCATCCACTCCCCCCCTCCATCCAAAATTAATTTATTTCGATTATTTTTTGTATAACGCATGGAAATTAAATTTAAAAAGTGAGCAATGTCATTAGTATTGTGATAATAACGTCCCTTATACCTATTTATTACAGGTTGTGTAGACCATTGTTGCCCGATTTATAGCAAAAACATTGACTTTTGCACGTTGGTGATGATGCGCCTTTTTTAATAGATCTCATATCTTTGAAGGGTATCAGTTCAAAAAAAATACTAGATTACCTAACATGTTTTGCCATGCACTGCGCCTATTCATTTGACAATTCAGTTGTAAATTTTCTCTTGAAAAAATAAATCTTCCAAATTTGTTGAGTTTTCTTGCAGAAATCGCCTAATCCCCCCTCCATCCATTTTTTACGATCACCGGGCGTGAAAAGAAAGTGCACATTTTTAACAATATTCAAAATTGTGTAAGAGAGTTTAACTGCTATTTCAAATGTAGTTATTGTCACATTTATTTGTTATAGCGCAAAATATATCTATTTTTGATTTATTGTAAAGTTTGAGAAAATAAAAACTTCATATTTTTTAAAATGTTTGCAATCTTCAAGGACCCAGATGTAGAAGTTATTGTAAATTGAGAACTTCCCCGACGGGGCTACAAGAGGGCTATATACCAGACGTAAAGTCGTCGTAACATTTTACATTCCTACGACTGTCGTGGAGTTACGATATCCAAAGTATAGGATGTTCTTCTGGAAATGATCCCCTGGATAATGCTTGTACCACTGGACATTGGATAGCTACGTCAAAATGAGGTGTATGGAAAAGACCAACCCCCACCTCTGGCAGACCCAGAATCTAACAAGGCGGGACACATCTCAAATGAGAAAAAAATATTTTAGGCCCCTAAATCCCAAAAATTGGGCTCAAATCTTGAAAATATGGCCAATTTTATATTAATTAGCCTAAAAAGGTCCAAAAAAGGCCAAGTAAAGCCCTATACAATAATCAGGCCCAAAAAATGTTCTGGGCCAACCCAAAGGGAGCCCCTAAATTTACTTCGGTCCAAAGCCTTCTCTATATTCCGGCTTTGAGGAGGAAGATTGAGCTGCCTTAGTATTATAAATATTGTAAATCATTGTGTCACACGCACAGTAAATATGGCATAATAATATGAAATATACCTTTATGAGATTTGAAGAACATCAGCTCACATCCCCGTCTGAATCTATTGTTATATTTCATTTCTTTAAACGAGAATAATTTCAAATGCTATTCACGTCCAGAACCGGAAGCCATTTTTAGCTACAGCGAGAAAATTTCACCATGTGTCAAACTCCGAAATGAAATTTTGAAATATCTAAATCCAGACAAGCAACGCTTCATCCTAAATATGATTAATATTCTTAAAAATATTTATAAAATTTATTAAAAATGAGTTCTAGGTGCGTGTAGCAGGCCTGTCAACTGTCCCGCAATTTGCGTATTTGTCACGCATTTGCTGAAGAATTTGAAGTCACGCCAGTTATTTTCGCATTTTACCTGGTAATTGTCAAGCAAAAATATTTCTGTAGAAAAATTTCTAAAAAAGATCGTCTACACAGCAAAAATACGAACGCCGGAAAAAAATGTACATATTTCGTTCGGACTTTTCACGCGAATTATGTATATGTCACGCATTCCGTTCGAAATTCTTTGTACCTAGCCCCCCCCCCCCCCCCCCCGTTGATGGATGTTTGAAACGCGAGCGTAGCGAGCGCGAAAAATTTGAGGTGTTCATAATTTGGCAAGATGTAATGAAATTTAAACCAAGGTGTTCAAAATTTGGATCAAGGTGTTCAGATTTGGACCAAGGTGTCCACATTTTGAGGGGAGGTGTTCAAGATTTCCAAGTCACTCATGTTAGGTGTTCCCAAGTTGACAGGCCTGGTGTAGGTGCGTGTAGCACAGTACATACGAAATCAATGAAGTTTCGTCTAGCTGTAAGCTAGAGACTCGAGTAACCCTAAATCAGCCAATGAGCACCAATCTCCACAATTGGGTCCAAAATCCATAGTATGAGCTTGGAATTGTTGGAGGGGTCAGTCTTTTTCGTACACCCCATTCATTTGGCATCTAGGGTGCATGTGATCATTCTTCAGCACAGTTGTTTTGAAAGTGTAAATCATTTCATTAGTGAGTTATTGTGAAGATCATCTTTATACTTCAAATTGAGTTTTTTGATTGAAAAAATTAGATCTATGAACAAAAATAAAATATTGTACAAACCTTTCACAAGAGGTACTAAACTTGATTCTAGACCAAATATAGGTCCAGTACAGCAATTCTGTTTGAAGTCATTTCTTAAGATATAACTGCGCGCTCTAAACGTGTCTATAATAAAACTGACACACCTAAAAAAAACTAATCCACAACTTTTATAAGTAGGTCAAACTTTGTAGCCACCTATCGGTGGACCAAACTTTTTAACTGCATTGGAAATAACAGTATTGGTATTCTTTTCAATCGTTAAAATGATGATAAGAACCAAAATAAAGCGAATATGTATCTATTTTAAAGACATGAGGATTGAATGTGTTATACTCAAAAGTTTCAAAATTAAGGAGAAATAAGATAAACAGAACCGGCTAAATACCAAATCGTACACATCGGAGGCCTTCTCGCTAGTTCAAAACAAACTTTTTGACATTGTCAGATTCAGGCTCTATCCTTGGACGACTTGAGCAATATGCTGGCAGTAAAGACATTGGTGTATTGCGGGCGAAGTATCAGCAGCTTAATGAGGACAAATGTGCACAGTCCTGAAATAGAAAATCTACTGCAATGTTTGAGAACGACCAGTTATATACAAAACAGAAATCAATCTGGCGGGTATTTGAATTGAAAATTTGTTCAACATCACTTTTTCTAAATTCTATTCACACAGGAACTTGTAGCACTATGATATGAGGTGCTTATGTCTGAGTCATTTATATATAGACATATAAATGACTCAGATCGGACATAAGCATCTCACATCATAGTGCTACAAGTTCCTGTGATTCTGCTTACTTCTTATGAAAGGCTACACATCGAGCCGATGGAAATTGTCATGTATGTCCAGAGACATATAAAATAGTTTTATATGTCTCTGGTCTGTCTGTCCGTAAATAATTTTAGACAAAGCAAAGTTGAGAAATATGAACTGTAATGACCCTCCATAGTAGCTACAGGCCTACAGCCTAGCTGTAGTGGCTAGCCCTTAATATGGTTCGAGCGGTAGAGCGTCAGTCTTGTGAGCAGAAGGTCCTGGGTTTGATTCCCATATGGGGCACTGAATTAAACACAAGCTGCACAATCCCTTTCATGTCTCGTATATGGCTTGTTACACTACAGCTTCCAGACAAGCGTGCCCAGGGTCGTTACAGAACCCCCAGGATGTTTTTTGAAAAGTGAACCCCCTTGCAAAAGCTGTCTTCGGGGCTATACACTACAGTAGTGCCTTTGGGGATTCTATTCTACTTGTTCACTCCCACATTTTTATTCATGCACTGCTATAAACTGTTAATATACAAATCATTTTCACTTGGGCATAGTTCCAACAATGATGTCCCAGCTTAAACCTGCTCAAAATGGCCTCTCATATATTTATTACATGTACTTTATTCATTTAGGGTGAACTTGCGAGGACGTGACCTTCTTACACTTAAGCAACTCACAGCTGCAGAATTGCAGCAGTTGCTATGGACAGCAATGGACCTCAAGACTAGGATCAAAGACAATCATGAAGTAAGTGCAATCAAGAGGCAAGTGCAATCAAGAGGTTAGTGCAGTAATTAGGTAGGTGCAATCAAGGGGTAAGTGTAATCATGAGGTAAGTGCAATCAAGAGATGAGTGCAATAATGAGGTAAGTACAATCATGAGGTAAGTACAATCATGAGTTTAAGTGCAATCAAAAGGAAAGTGCAATCAAGGGGTAAGTGCAATCATAAGGAATCCAATCATAAGATAAGTGCAATTATGAATTAATTGCAAAAATGAAAGTGCAATCATGAGGTAAGTGCAGTTATAAGGTTAGTGCAATCACAAGGTGCAATCATGAGGTAAGTACAATGATGAGGTAAGTGCAATCATGAGGTAAGTGTAATCAAAAGGTAAGTGCAGTTATGAGGTAAATGCTATCATGAAGTAAATGCAATCATGAGGTAGGTGCATAAATGAAAAAGCAATCATGAGGTAAGCGCAGTTATAAGTTAAGTGCAATTACGAGGTGCAATCATGAGGTAAGTACAATAATCAGGTAATTGCAATCATGAGGTAAGTGTAATCATGAGGTAAGTGCAATCATGAGGTAAATGCTAATAATAAAAGAGGCAGAGAGTTTGATCATGACATGCCAAATAGCCAGTTGTGCAATTTTATGTTATTTTCAGGTAAATATTTCAGGTAAATAATCTTTTATTTCTCACCATTGTGGAACTGAAATATGATACACCTGAATGCTATTTGTAGATCTATCAGCCTCTACTGGGTAAATCTTTGGCTATGATCTTCCAGAAGAGAAGCACACGGACAAGGATCTCAAATGAAACAGGTAGATCCAAAAAATAATGTGTATCTACAGTATCAAAGGCCTGAAATATCACTCACCATGCATGATGTTTTGTCTTAAAATTTACAGACAGGTTCAATTAAAGATATCTTTCCTTGCACCTCTGCCCAAAGTGTGAAAACTTATTAGGTCTAAAAAGAGTTATATCTTCCTCGCACCAAAATGGTTCAGCCATATTCATTACCTAATTACACCTGGCCTGTAGCCAAGGGGGAGCTGATGCTCCTCCCCCTGGCCATTATGAGCACTTTTTGCATGATTTTCTAGCCAAAACTGTCAAAAAGCTAGCTCTCCCCTTGGAAAAAAGCTCCCCCTTGGTAAAAGCTGGCTATGGGCAAGTATACTACATGTATGATAAAAATATGAAATATAAGACTTGTGTTGCAGGTATGGCACTACTTGGTGGTCACCCTGTATTCCTGAGTCCTCAAGACATTCATCTTGGAGTCAATGAGTCCATTAAAGACAGCGCAAGGTAACTCCCCATGTCATGGGATTTCCATTTATTTTGAGATCTCTTTAAAGTATGAATTTATCATAGCATTTTAGAATGGTTTGCAAATTTTGCACATTTACATCATTAAAACTCATAAAATTTGTTGAAAAAACATTAACAAATTATAGTTTCAAATGCACCATATACAATGTAAATATTAAAAAATTTCTTTTCTTAATCCCTGACAATTGTTTGCTGTGGCCCTGTCATGTCATGATATGATATGACGTCATGAAGCGTATATGTTGACTACGAAGGACGTGATATCACGTCCAAGTACAAACCCAATGTATTTTTGGAATCTTGTAACCATGACAACTTATAAAATGGGACTTAAAAACCTATTCATTCTGAAAGAGTATATCATATGCTTTAAAATTATATATAACACTGTACAGGGTGTCAAAAAACAACGGCACCCCCCTCTACAGCAAAAAGTCCTCAATGTTCCATATCGTGTCATACCTCATTTGAAAGATAATTTAATTCTGGAGTTACTCATCAAATTTCATTTAATAAAACTTAATATTAAAAAAGCTACATTGTTTCAAAGTTTGCTACTTCGGTACTTTGTTTGCTGCTCTGTTACTGGTTTAAGGTCAAATCTTCAGAAAGTGAAATATGAAAGAATTACCCCAGATTTCAACTGCACTGAACATATGGGTTCATTTCTGAAAAACAGGGTATAGGAACTGATGGACAAAGAGCCTCTTGAAAGAAGATACAGTAAGGATGTATTTCTGAAGAATGTGAGGAAAGTGCGAAGAGGATAATGCAATGCTACACCTTTATGTGAATTTTTATTGAAATCATATCCGTCCAGATAAGCTGCTGTTTGATCAGCAGCTGGTGGTCATACCAACTACTAAGAATCAGCTGTAAATCTGTAAAATTATATGATATAAAGCTGAAATTTCTCAGGTAACTCCAGAATTAAATTGTCTTTAAAATGAGATATGACACACCATGTAACATTAAGTACTTTTTGCTGTAGAGGGGGGTGCCGTTGTTTTTTGACACCCTGTATATGTATGCCTATGTTTATACTATCTTACAATTAAGACCGATATCTGAGATGTCCCATCTGGAATACCAAACCGTTTTTTTATTATCATTTTTTTTCATTTTGGATGCCAGAGAGTTTTTTTAATTATCAATATTAATTTTCAGCAAGCAATAATTAATAATACAAAACAACTTACCAATCAGGGGAAATGTGGGATATGTGATGTTATTCTTGCAAGGGTATATGGACATTGGACATGAGGTTGCGACTGAGCTAGCAGAATATAGCAGTGTTTCTTTGCTGTATTGTACATGTATTTTGCAATATTTGGCTTTGTGAAAGTCTGGCATGGTATTGTGGTTTTGTCTTTTCAGGGTGCTCTCTGGGATGTGTGATGGTATTCTTGCAAGGGTATATGGACATGAGGTTGTGACTGAGGTAGCAGAATATAGCAGTGTTTCTTTGCTGTATTATACATGTATTTTGCAATATTTGGCTTTGTGAAAGTCTGGCATGGTATTGTGGTTTTGTCTTTTCAGGGTGCTCTCAGGGATGTGTGATGGTATTCTTACCAGAGTATATGGACATGAGGTTGTGACTGAGCTAGCAGAATATAGCAGTGTTTCTTTGCTGAATTATACATGTCTTTTGCAATATTTGGCTTTGTATTGAAAGTCTAGCATCATATTGTGGTTGTGTCTTTTCAGGGTGCTCTCAGGTATGTGTGATGGTATTCTTGCAAGGGTATATGGACATGAGGTTGTGACTGAGCTAGCAGAATATAGCAGTGTTTCTTTGCTGTATTATACATGTATTTTGCAATATTTGGCTTTGTATCGAAAGTCTAGCATCATATTGTGGTTTTGTCTTTTTAGGATGCTATCTCGGATGTGTGATGGTATTCTTGCCAGGGTATATGGACATGAGGTTGTGACTGAGCTAGCAGAATATAGCAGTGTTTCTTTGCTGTATTATACATGTATTTTGCAATATTTGGCTTTGTATAGAAAGTCTAGCATCATATTGTGGTTGTGTCTTTTCAGGGTGCTCTCAGGGATGTGTGATGTTATTCTTGCAAGGGTATATGGACATGAGGTTGTGACTGAGCTAGCAGAATATAGCAGTGTTTCTTTGCTGTTTCATACATGCATTTTGCAATATTTGGCTTTGTATAGAAAGTCTAGCATCATATTGTGGTTGTGTCTTTTCAGGGTGCTCTCAGGTATGTGTGATGGTATTCTTGCAAGGGTATATGGACATGAGGTTGTGACTGAGCTAGCAGAATATAGCAGTGTTCCTGTCATCAATGGACTTTCAGATCTTTACCATCCTTTGCAGATCCTAGCAGATTTCATTACACTACAGGTGTGTCTTTTTATCGTACCTAACAAAAGGTACGATATTGTAGTCAGCTTGGCGGGCGGCGTCTCACTTTTCAGCTTGTCTACAGATTTCCAGCCAAACCATTTGAGGGATTCATCTGAAATTTTCAGGGATGTTTCTACATATCAACGTCAAGAACTGATTAGTTTTTGGGCATTCTGGGTAAATCTTAAGGTGGCCATTTTGGATTTTCCGTCCTAAAATCTTCACTTTCAAGACTTGTCTACAGGTTTCGAGCCAAACCATTTGAGGGATTCATCTGAAATTTTCAGGGATGTTTCTACATATCAACGTCAAGAACTGATTAGTTTTTGGGCATTCTGGGTAAATTTTAAGGTGGCCATTTTGGATTTTCTGTCCTAAAATCTTCACTTTCAAGATTTGTCTACAGGTTTTCAGCCAAACCATTTGAGGGATTCATCTGAAATTTTCAGGGATGTTTCTACATATCAACGTCAAGAACTGATTAGTTTTTGGGCATTCTGGGTAAATTTGAGGTGGCCATTTTGGATTTCCCGTCCTAAAATCTTTACTTTCAAGACTTGTCTACAGGTTTCCAGCCAAACCTTTTGAGGGATTCATCTGAAATTTTCAGGGATGTTTCTACATATCAACGTCAAGAACTGATTAGTTTTTGGGCATTCTGGTTAAATTTTAAGGTGGCCATTTTGGATTTTCTGTCCTAAAATCTTCACTTTCAAGACTTGTCTACAGATTTTCAGCCAAACCATTTGAGGGATTCATCTGAAATTTTCAGGGATGTTTCTACATATCAACATCAAGAACTGATTGGTTTTTGGGCATTCTGGGTAAATTTTAAGGTGGCCATTTTGGATTTTCCGTCCTTAAATCTTCACTTTCAAGACTTGTCTACAGGTTTCCAGCCAAACCGTTCAAATGTTACACAGTGATAATTTCTAGAGCTGATTAACTTTTCTGCGGCCATCTTGCTTTCTTGGTCAACAAGACCACAATGCTAAATTTTAGGTACAATATTGTTCAAGTCTGTGCCTTGTTATATTCACTTGGATTTCCCATCATATCTATACTATATACAGGGTGACCCAAAAATATGCAACCATCTTATATCGGAATACTAGTAGTTTCTCGATTGTGGTGGAATTTTCTGGAATTTTCATTTGTAGATAATGTGTTCAATGGAAAAAGCAGAGTTACAATTATGGATCACTCTGCTATATCGTATCAATCCACCAATTTTAACTTTTTTTTTATTTATTTTTATTAAGTTTTTCATTTGTACAAAGAATACAATACAATAATACAGTGTAAGTGGCTGTGCTTTTAGCATTATTAGCCACGTTCTACAATTACAATAAACAATGTATTCAATCAATACTATTGATTAAAATAAATGAGATACAAGAAGATAATTTTAAATCTCCATCCACAGTCTCAATATACATTGTCTGGAAATAGTTTGACTGTCAATTATTGCATATTATTACCACCTTGCCGGGCCAGTTCTAGGGGTTTAAGTGCTAGTTTAGAAGGCATTCATTTTACTATATCGACCTGAGAAATATGTGACGTCATAGTGGTGTTCCATATGGACCTGTCTAGAATATATTCTGGACCGGCAATTTTTCCCTGGGAAATTAGATATTGAAGATCACATTTGACTGAACTATGTCTACAACATCTACATTGTACATAATTTTGGTTTTATTTTTCAGGAATACTTTGGTTATCTTCAAGGATTAAAGATTGCGTGGGTTGGTGATGGTAACAATATAACACATTCATTTCTTATGGGATGTCCTTTGATGGGTATAGAACTACGCATTGCCACTCCAAAGGTAAAGCCATCATAGAACTATGCATTGTAACTGCACATGTAAAGCCATTATTAGACTATGCATTGCCACTCCAAAGGTAAAGCCATTATAGAACTATGCATTGCCACTCCAAAGGTAAAGCCATTATAAAACTAAGCATTGCAATGTGACACAAAAGTAAAGCCATCGTAGAAATATGTGCTGCCACTCCAAAGGTAAAGCCATTATAGAACTGCATTACCACTCCACAGGTAAAGCCATTATAAAACTATGCATTGCAACTCCAAATGTAAAGCCATCATAAAACTAAGCATTGCATTGCAACTCCTAAGGTAAAGCCATCGTTGAAATATGTGCTGCCACTCTAAAGGTAAAGCCATTATAGAACTATGCATTGTAACTCCAAAGGTAACGCCACTATAGAACTATGCATTGCCACTCCACAGGTAAAGCCATTATACAACTATGCATTGCAACTCCAAAGGTAAAGCCATTATAGAACAATGTGGTGCCACTCCAAAGGTAACGCCACTATAGAACTATGCATTACCACTTCAAAGGTAAAGCCATTATAAAACTAAGCATTGCAACTCCAAAGGTAAAGCCATTATAAAACTAAGCATTGCAACTCCAAAGGTAAAGCCATTATAAAACTAAGCATTGCAACTCCAAAGGTAAAGCCATTATAAAACTAAGCATTGCAACTCCAAAGGTAAAGCCATTATAAAACTAAGCATTGCAACTCCAGGTAAAGCCATTATAGAACTATGCATTGCCACTCCACAGATAAAGCCATTATAGAAAAATCCATTGTAACTCCAAAGGTAAAGCCATTATAGAACTATGCATTGCCACTCCAAAGGTAAAGCCATTATAAAACTAAGCATTGCAACTCCAAAGGTAAAGCCATTATAAAACTAAGCATTGCAACTCCAAAGGTAAAGCCATTATAAAACTAAGCATTGCAACTCCAAAGGTAAAGCCATTATAAAACTAAGCATTGCAACTCCAAAGGTAAAGCCATTATAAAAGTAAGCATTGCAACTCCAAAGGTAAAGCCATTATAAAACTAAGCATTGCAACTCCAAAGGTAAAGCCATTATAAAACTAAGCATTGCATTGCAACTCCTAAGGTAAAGCCATCGTAGAAATATGTGCTGCCACTCTAAAGGTAAAGCCATTATAGAACAATGCATTGCCACTCCACATTTAAAGCCATGTAAGAACTATGCATTGCCACTCCACAAGTAAAGCCATTATACAACTATGTATTGCAACTCCAAAGGTAAAGCCATTATAGAACTATGTATTTCAACTCCACAGGTAAAGCCATTGTAGAACTATGCATTGCCACTCTACAGATAAAGCCGTTTGGAACAATCCATTGTAACTCCAAAGGTAAAGCCATTATAGAACTATGCATTGCAACTGCACAGGTAAAGCTATCATATAATTATTATGCATTGTTGCCAGTCCCTACAGGTTAAGCCAACATAGAACCATGTATTGCGATTCTACCTGTAAAGACATCATAGAACTATGCACTATTTTCCATGCACAAGTAAAGCTTTCATGTACATAGAATATAAATTAGGAAGTACAACAGAGAATGGAAAACTCAGAATCAGTATCAGAATTGATTGGAATAGCCATGTTTGACAACGATTGAGTATTACATAAATATGTATTTGTGATTCAAAGATTACTGTTTTCCAGGGTTATGAAGTGGATCCAGCAGTTATGCACGATGCATTGAAACTCTCAGCTAAGGTAATCCAAAACTCTCAGCTTAGGTAATCCAAAACTCTCAGCTTAGGTAATCTAAACTATAATCTCACAGCTAAGGTAATCTGTACATTGAGACTCTTAGCTTTATTTGTAAGCTTTGCATTATAAGTCTCAGCTAAGGTTATCTATACATTGAAAAAAATTGAGAAAATTGTAAGGGTAGCCAGGTTGAAATAAGATAATTTTGACCAAACAAATGTTTTCCAAAAATGAGTGGCTAAACAACAATAAAAATGCATTGAAGAAGATACAAATTATGTTGTAGTGAATATTGTATCACTTGACATGGACCAAGAGTGCTGGATATAGTGTTTGCTCATTATTAAAGATTCTTAATTAATGCTAAAAAATGTGACGTCATATGTGCTGTGTCAAGGACCATGTTACCAAATCAAAATATATATGATAAAATTAATTATCCTACACTTAGTGTACTTAATGTACTGTATATTAACATTAAAAAATAAATTTGATATCTATTGACAAAATGAATAACCGGAGGATATCGTGATGATATACTCCGGGCGGAGGATATCGTGACAATATACTCCGTAAAACCCAATATGCAGAGGATATTGTGACGATATACTCCGCTTGTTGATTTCCCGCCAAATTGACTCTATTTGGCATGAAATTCATTTTGCAATGATATTATATACATTTAGTACACTCCTTTTAAGTGTAGGATAATAAGAACATCCTATGATTTTTTTTCAGAATATCATTTTAATCTACTCGGTGATATTGATATATGCACTTGTTCGCTTTGCTCTCTCGTGCAGATATCAATATCACCTTGTAGATAAAAATGATATTCCTCAAAATCATAGGATATCCTATAAATATTTTAATTCTTGAGACATGAAATTTGGTATGTACACTAATTATTACATGCCAGATAATATGTGCAAAATCTAGAAAGATTGGTTAAAAACTGTAGAAATGGGAGACCTAGTGTCATTTCTTAGTGAGCACCCTGTTATTAATAAAACATTGTCAATAAACTACATTTACGTCATAGCTACAGTATACACACATTTTATGTTTAACTTCCCAGCCTCTAGGCCTATTAGTTATCAAGCATTATAAAAATAGCACGATGACACTGTTTTTATACTAAATTAAAGAGCTCCTACCTACGCCTTCTTAATTTCCTGTTATTTAATATTGCATGTATTTTGTTAATTTTACCTATCTGATTCTGATGAGTACATATAGGTTATGATCATTTTACATAATAACCATTTATATGTTTCTATGCAAGGATTAAAAGGATATGTAGGGGTTATGCACTGGGAGGTTTTGGATACAGGGAATATCCCGAGGGATAAACAATATATCTTCCCGAGAGCCCAAAGAGTGCAGCCTATTGCATTGACTTATTGTTAAATGAACCTCTGTAAGTAGAACACCTCCCAAGTAGAAGACATTTTAGGGGTACCAAAGGGGCTTACGGACAACTCATCCCCTAGACAACTCATCCCCTGGACAACTCATACCCTAGACAAATTGGGGATGAGTTGTCCAGGGGATGAGTTGTCCAGGGATGGGTTATCTAGGGGATGAGTTGTCCAGGGATGAGTCGTTTAGGGGATAAGTTGTCTGGTTACCACCAAAGGTGTTCCACTTACCCAGGTTTTAGCTGAGGAAAAATGAGTCGATAAGAGATTGTATATATGATGTATTGTTCCATCTAATCTGTGTTAAGTATGCAGGCTCACTTGTATTATTTGGAGCCATTTTTTTGAAATGTTGACCCTTACATTTGCCCATTTTAGCATGGCTCTTGCATCAGTATTAGCAATGACCCGAAGGAGGTTGCCTACAGGGCTGATGTCATAATAACTGATACATATTGACCCTTACGCTTTCCCATTGTAGCATGGCTCTTGCATCAGTATTAGCAATGATCCAAAGGAGGTTGCCTACAGGGCTGATGTCATAGTAACTGATACATATAATATTGACCCTTATACTTTCCCATTGTAGCATGGCTCTTGTATCAGTATTAGCAATGACCCGAAGGAGGTTGCCTACAGGGCTCAGATGTCATACTAATTGATACATATTGACCCTTATACTTTCCCATTGTAGCATGGCTCTTGCATCAGTATTAGCAATGATCCAAAGGAGGTTGCCTACAGGGCTGATGTCATAGTAACTGATAGATATAATATTGACCCTTATACTTTCCCATTGTAGCATGGCTCTTGTATCAGTATTAGCAATGACCCGAAGGAGGTTGGCTACAGGGCTGATGTCATAGTAACTGATACATATTGACCCTTACGCTTTCCCATTGTAGCATGGCTCTTGCATCAGTATTAGCAATGACCCAAAGGAGGTTGGCTACAGGGCTGATGTCATAGTAACTGATACATATTGACCCTTACGCTTTCCCATTGTAGCATGGCTCTTGCATCAGTATTAGCAATGAACCAAAGGGGGTGCCTACAGGGCTGATGTCATAGTAACTGATACATATTGACCCTTACGCTTTCCCATTGTAGCATGGCTCTTGCATCAGTATTAGCAATGACCCAAAGGAGGTTGCCTACAGGGCTAATGTCATAGTACAGTAACTGATACATATTGACCCTTACGCTTTCCCATTGTAGCATGGCTCTTGCATCAGTATTAGCAATGACCCAAAGGAGGTTGCCTACAGGGCTGATGTCATATTAGCTTATACATATTGACCCTTACGCTTTCCCATTGTAGCATGGCTCTTGCATCAGTATTAGCAATGACCCAAAGGAGGTTGCCTACAGGGCTAATGTCATAGTACAGTAACTGATACATATTGACCCTTACGCTTTCCCATTGTAGCATGGCTCTTGCATCAGTATTAGCAATGACCCAAAGGAGGTTGCCTACAGGGCTGATGTCATATTAGCTTATACATATTGACCCTTACGCTTTCCCATTGTAGCATGGCTCTTGCATCAGTATTAGCAATGACCCAAAGGAGGTTGCCTACAGGGCTAATGTCATAGTACAGTAACTGATACATATTGACCCTTACGCTTTCCCATTGTAGCATGGCTCTTGCATCAGTATTAGCAATGACCCAAAGGAGGTTGCCTACAGGGCTGATGTCATAATAACTGATACATATTGACCCTTACGCTTTCCCATTGTAGCATGGCTCTTGCATCAGTATTAGCAATGACCCAAAGGAGGTTGCCTACAGGGCTAATGTCATAGTACAGTAACTGATACATATTGACCCTTACGCTTTCCCATTGTAGCATGGCTCTTGCATCAGTATTAGCAATGACCCAAAGGAGGTTGCCTACAGGGCTGATGTCATATTAGCTTATACATATTGACCCTTACGCTTTCCCATTGTAGCATGGCTCTTGCATCAGTATTAGCAATGACCCAAAGGAGGTTGCCTACAGGGCTAATGTCATAGTACAGTAACTGATACATATTGACCCTTACGCTTTCCCATTGTAGCATGGCTCTTGCATCAGTATTAGCAATGACCCAAAGGAGGTTGCCTACAGGGCTGATGTCATAATAACTGATACATATTGACCCTTACGCTTTCCCATTGTAGCATGGCTCTTGCATCAGTATTAGCAATGACCCAAAGGAGGTTGCCTACAGGGCTGATGTCATAATAACTGATACATATTGACCCTTACGCTTTCCAATTGTAGCATGGCTCTTGCATCAGTATTAGCAATGATCCAAAGGAGGTTGCCTACAGGGCTGATGTCATAGTAACTGATACATGGATCAGTATGGGACAAGAGGAAGAGAAAGAGAAGAGACTGAATGACTTCCATGGATACCAGATTGACAGAAAGGTAAGATTTGGCTGTGCTATCATGTAAACTTGTATAACCAGCTCTATCTTGCCGTAAGGTGCATTAAAGTAAATTCACAGATAGCTAGGTAAGGTGTGTCCGATTTAATAAGCTGCAACTCAGGCTTTGTATAAAAAACCTCCTACCTCATACCTACCTACCCACCTACGTGGAACATGATACAGTCATTGAAGGGTTCAATTTTAAAGATTATGAAATCTCAAAATAGCTCTTATTATTAACATTTCTGTAATTCCGGCTTTATTTAGTGACTAGACAGATGACAGATCCATAAATAAAGGCATATGGATGCATTTGAATGTGTAATGACCCGAGGGCGCCCCAGGGGAATAAATAACTAACGACTGCGAGCAGATGAAGAAATTGAAAGAAAGTGTGCTAAATTCGATGCCCCGAGTGGGAATCTAACCCAGCTGGGATGTAGTAGCAACTTGCTATCAAGGGTCGTTACAAATGCATCTTTATGTTCATGTAGAGTATAGATATGGCCGTGAGAGTCGTACATGTAAAATTATTAATATAAAATTAATATAAATAAATATTGAGCCAATTAACACAAAACACAATACCTTGGAAAATAATGGCTAATTTAAGTTAATTAGCTACAAGAGTTTACAATTTGACATAACTGTTAATTAGCTCAATTGGATATATTATAATACCATCTCCAACTCATCTTCTTGGGCGAAAATAAATCTCCAACTGGTGGTGTAAGCTGGGGAAGGAGGTGAGGGAAAAGAATCGAAATGTATAACTTACATTGATGTTAATGGATTTTGTACGCACCTAGGGAGAAAACCCTCCAACTACAATCCTATCGATATCTCGTCTAAAGTCTCATCTCGTACTCTCGAGATCTGAAGCTTGATGTTTCGTTCAGTGTAACTTACCAGAAACATTTACCTGGGATAACCGGGGAATGGTCTTCTTAGGGCTTGTTCATACCTAAACCTTAACCGACTCTCACATTGCCATAAATGAAATTATTGTCAATAATTTGAATATAATTCATCATAAACTAAGATTAAATAAACTAAGATCTTTAAAATTGAACCCTTTAAAGACTGTATCATGTCCCACGTACATGGGTAGGTGGGTATGAGGTAGGAGGTTTTTTATACAAAGCCTGCAACTCAGGTTCATGGTAAGTCATTGTGGCCACATCAGGTGTCACAACTTAGGTTGAAAACATGACTGCCACCTGGCAATCAATCCATTGATCAATCAACAACCAGTTTTTCAAAGTCCAAGCGACTGCCATTGACAGTGGGGCAGATGCTAATTTCGAACCCTGAGCCACATGAAACTTAAAGGAAGTATTTTTTTGATAAGCACTGCTATATCACCATTCTGATATACTCAAGCATCTTTCTGTTCCACCAGAAACACTCTGTTATTATGAGGCATATTCTGTGATCTGAGCTCATTTTGATGGGACACCCTGTTATGTTATTATATAACTAAAGGGGCTCAATGCCTATTTATGATCCTAAAATACCCCAAAATATTAAGATTAACTCTTCACTTGCACCATCATTAGACATTGGTTAAAGTAGCCTAGTGGATTAATTGCTTTTTGGAAAGAATATTTGCTTCAACTTGATATACTGTACAAAATACAGGCTGTTACAAATCTTGAAAAGGGGTATTTTAGAGACAGCCCTTTAGTAATACTAGTGATAAAACAAATATATGTTGTGATATTGAGGTAATGTAAGAAACTCCATAACAAACCCCCATAAACCCTGAGAATGGAATAAACCTATGGAATAATATAAATGTACTATTATTAATACTGTTTTTATATAGTTGGTCAATGAGATGGCAGCCAAGTGGGTGTTCCTACATTGTTTACCACGCAAATCTGAAGAAGTGACAGATGATGTTTTCTACGATACAAAACATTCTCTGGTTTGGCAGGAGGCGGAGAATCGCAAATGGAGTGCCATGGTATGTGCTATCAGGGGGTTTCATTAGCAGCAGGCAACAGGCTACAATATCGCCTGTTGTTTTTAGGGACTTTTCAACATTTTTGATTTTTATGATTATCATGAATTTTGCCTTTTGCTTTAATTTATTTAGCCTGTTGCGAGAAATTCTTGTGAAACCCCTGGCTCTGTACTTTTATCATTTATTTATATATCTGTAAATACAACAACACAACTCATACTGATGAATATCACAATTTGAAGAGTAAAAGGCCGTCATTTAATTTACCCAGCATGTCCAAATCCTAATCAGATCTTGGCACAAGTCTGCTCTCGCATCTGTAAAAATTTGAAGTTGAATAAGCAGATCTGGAATTTTGATGACAATATTTATGTGGCCTCTACCAACCATAGACGAACAGATGTGTGTCCAGCAGCACTTTAAGTTATTGAATGATTTGAAGTGCAATACAGGATATATTCTGCTCGAGAAATTCCGTATTGGAACGAGACGAAGTCGAGTGCCAATACAGAATATCGAGACAGAATATATCCTGTATTGCACTTCATATCATTCAATAACGTTTTTATCGTGTGATCTCAGTAGCAATACAGATTGGTACAGCACAAGAACTGACCAATCAGAGGGCTTCATTTTACAGATCATACGATAAAAGACAATGTTGCACAATTTCAAACTGCGATAAAAACAGCAATCATACATTGGACACAAATCTTCAGTGGAAACATCTTCATATTAGGCAAATTATTTAATATAAATAATTTATTTATAATCTGTTTTATTTTATTATATAATAGACAAGTACAAGTAGTTGCTGAATAAATAATAAATGTTGCAACATTGTTTATATCTAAATTGCACAATTAAACATTAATTTCTATGCATGTACCTACAAATAATAACCTCTCCATGATACCAAAATTGTCCCGTGGGGTCCCATCCTCCAGATGCAGGGCTAAAGAACTCATTCCTCCTTGAAAAGCGAAAGAACATATTGCACCCAGTTCAAATTTTTTTGGGGAGAACACTAACTCAATGTTGGATGAGGTAAAAATATATGTGTGAGGTAAACAAACATGTAGATTGACCAGATCAAGATCTACACTAACTATAAATGTCCAGATAACCATATGACGATGAAGTTAAATTGCACTGATATCCCACCGAACGAAGTCTGTAGTGTAGAGATATAGAGAAGCAATCTGTTTCTCAAAATCCATATTCTACATGTATATACACATGAATACTTGAAACATTAATGATTCATTCATTGGGGACTGATTGATGTGGGTGGAATGTTACAGGAGCATGTGCCATGAACTTATACAAGAGTGCAATTAAGTCATATTGACGTAATATGTGTCCTTGTCATATACCAAATATACCTTGCTACTTTTTACTGACATCATTTTTTTTCTTCATTATGTCACCACCAAAAGTGGTGACATATTGTTATGGTCTCCGTTTTTTTCTGACGGCGGTTGGCGTCCGGCGGTTGGAGGTTGGCGTCCGGTGGTTGACGTCTGGCGGTTGGCGTCCGGCGTCTGTAACAATTTCTTACAACTTCCTATAACTTAACAAATACTGTTTAGACTGACTTCAATTTTTTCTAAATCATCTACATGTTCTCAGAAGTTCAAATCTGACTTTAGATTTCACATTTGACCTTCAATGACCTTCTCAAGGTCAAAAAGGTCTTTTTTCAACTTGCTTCATTTTTTTTCTTCATTTTTTGTTTGTTACAAAACTTCTTGTATAACAATTATGGGCGAGTATAGCTAAAATATTTAAATGAACACATGCAAGCATTTTCCTGCATGTTATGCATATAAATTATTTCATATCTGGCAATAAGTACAGTATAAGGCCAGGCCCGTAGCCAGGATTTGCCAAGGGGGGTTCACTTTTTGGAAAATTCCAGGGGGGTTCACTTTTGACAATCTTGGTCCAAAAATGGCAAAAATCACTCAAAATGTGCTCAGAATGGTGAAAAACTGCATGATTTTGAAAGAATTTTTGGCCAGGGGGGGGGGGGGTTCGCTCGAACCCATCGGACCTCCCCTGGCTACGGGCCTGAAGGAATTTCAAAGGAGAGTCTATGGTAGCAGAATTCTAGCACATTACATAGTGCACATAACAAAAACCTGTTATGTACATGTTGTACAATACAAGTGAGTGATTGACAAAATAAATGTGTACCATTTTCTGCAAGTCTCTGGGTACAGGTTATAATGTCACCACCAGAAGTGGGGATATATTGTTATAGTATCCAACTTTTTTGAGGGTGGTCTTCTGGTGTTGGTGTTCAGTGGTTGGTGTTCTGTGTTTTGCATCTGTAACAAATAGCAGGTGGTGACATTTACATTTTAATGCCTTATATGGTTCTTATAGTGATGATGTCATTGTCATATGACCTCTTGATTTTAACCTATTCACACTCATCCTTTGATTAAATACCCAACTATATGCCTATATGTGTCAACAGTATATAACCATATAATATTCATAAAATTCATATCGTGCCCTCTTCTTTCTCCAGGCTGTGATACTACATCTACTAGGAGACCATAGCTGTAAAATAGACAAACCAAACTTTCAAAGAGAGTAAAAGTAATACCAGAACAAGGAACTGCTTAAGACTTTTGAGGGAAAATAAAGGTGAAGGTAGATGCCTACTTGAGGTGAATTTGGTTGCTTGAGTGACTTGAGTTCATGTGATTAAATAGAACCTGAATTGAGATCAAACTAAAAGTGATGATGGTTTCTAAATGGAAATCAAACTTTGAGGTGAATTAAAATGATAATATGTCCAATACTAGAACTTTGAGGTGAAAGAAATGTCAACTCATTTGAAGCTGATCATGGTATTCTAAATGACCTCAGATATTCCTCAGTTGAGATTTGTTAAGCAGCCTAACTTTGAAGATTACTGTTAAATAAATAAGATGGTGGCCACGTTTTTAAATGACAAAGGAAAGAACAGAGAAGATTTATATGAGTATGAGGACGAGGCAAACACTCAAAATTGTGAAGAACTGTAAGGGAGAAACAAATCGATCCACTATTCTGAATGGTCGGCAGTTTCGTTCAGTGCAAATTCTGTGGTTCAAAATTCAAAATGGCACATAAAATTGACAGTGAAACTGCTTGAAACAGCTTAAATCGGGACATTGGTTCAACTGTTACCATTGAAAAGTGCTCTGAATGGTGAAAAACTGCATGATTTTGACAGAATTTTTAGCCAGTGGGTTTCCCTTAAACTGGAAAACTGGAATTGGTTCAAAGAGTATGTAAGCAGCTGCCATCTATAAATGGAACATGTAAATATATAAAAAAAGATTTGCTTGAATCTCCTTGTTTTTTGTAAGATCCACATTTCCGGGTGATTTTATTCAATTAAACAGAAAAACCACTTATGGAAAAGTGTTTGGACTATCAAAAAGTCATAAAACTGGCAATAGCTAAGTGTAATGTGGATCTAAAGTTTTAATTGCCAAATTACATCATAATAAGCCATCTGTTGTAGCATCTTCAAAATATATTTTCATGTCCTTGGCTACAAACCAAAGGAACTTTTGTTATTTTGTGAATAAATGTGAACTGTTATTTGACTATAGAATTTTTCATTAAAAAATTTATAGTTTGCAAAGCTCAAGTGTGTAAAATTCAGAATGTAATGTTCTGACTTGTAATTAAAAGCCAGAACTTCATATATAGTGACTGAATAATATGAAATATATGCTTTATACAAAACTATTTTGTCAATATACAATGTTTTTATTATTATGTTACCACCACAAGTGGTAACATATTCTTATGGTCCCCAACTTTTTTGTGGATGGTTTTCGGCATCTGGTGGTTTGTGTTCGGCAGTTAGTGATCTGCATTCAGCATCTGTAACAAATGGCAGGTAGTGACATTTTGCATGTTAATGCCTCGTTAAATCATGCCATGTTGTTAAGATACATGCCATAAGATACTTTAGATTTACCATTTTGATCATTACAAGAAGGAATGAGTCAAGGTAAAATGAGTCAATCTGGAATATGTCAAGACAGAATAGGTCAAGAAAGGTGGGTCAGGTATGAAAGGGGTCCAGAAGGAATGAGTCAAGATGGATACGTAAAGATGAAATAGAAAGAAGGAATGGGTCAAGAGAAAAAGGGTTAAGAAGAAATAGGTCAAGAAAGAATTGAGTCAAGATAATACATCAAGATGATATAGTAAGAAGGATTTGGTCAAGATAGAATGGTTCAAGAAGGAATGAGTCAAGATGATACATCAAGATGGAATAGGAAGGATTGGGTCAGGAAGGAATGGGTCAATAAGGATTGAGTCAAGATGGAACCGTCAAGATGAAATAGAAAGAAATAGGTCAAGATAGAATTCGTGAAGATTGAATGAGTCAAGATGAAATGAGCCAAGACGAAAAGGATAGAAGTTGAATGTGCCAAGTAGAATAGACTATATGCGAGTAGAAATAATCTTGATTGATGCCATTAAATATTCAAAATTCAGTCAAAGCGATGTCATATTTGAAATCTACATGTAAAAGTACAATGTGACTTTTATTTCGGTTTGATTCCCCACAGAGCCCATGTTACAAAATCACAAAAAGTGAAATATCTTTTCTTGTATTGGACAGTTAACATTTTCCTTTACTGGACATATTTTAATTTGCATAACTATTAATTTAGACACATAAGTGTTATATGAAAATTGAACCACTAAAACAGATGTAATTTAAGTTAAAGGGAACTTGCTACTATACCAGCCATGCTATCTGACACAAACGAGCCACCTGGCGGTGAAACTGGTAACTACTTACTCGCATCTCCGTTTTTAGGTTGAGATATATTTATATTAAAATACCATCTTGTTCCATCCAATACCTTTCCTAATGATCATACCACAGGTCAAAAGTTGATTTCTCAAAATGTTTCCAATATGAGAATTTCTGTAAGATGACTTACAGTGTAATCATGAAAGATTGATAGACGTGGCTAGAATATTAGCCTGCGCATGTACTTTAAATATCCAACCATTAATCCGGTACTTTAATTATCAAATATTATAAATAAAGCGTAGCATAAAAACATGATATATTAATAGAAGAGTTGATATTCTATCCACATGGTATCAGAAACGGCATCCAGGTACTTGGCTGATGAGAGAAGTGACTAGCAATTTTCCACATGAAAGACTCTTATCTCTCTAGCCTCGTATAGTGTAGTAGATATGGGCTAGGAGGTCAGATTATTCAACCACAGGGGATCCTAATTAGTCAATCTCTAGCGTTAGACTCATCGGGACACAAACGAGTACAGATTGATCAGCAAGATCAACTTGAAAGTTGGTATGTTGAAATGATCTGTGTCAGAATGTACCAATCCTTTACCTCAACGGGTTTCATTTCGCCATTTGAAGTGGATGTGCTAATATTTTACGGAGCGTGATGATATCAATTATCTACGAGACTAGCATTCTAAGGATTTAGCTTTCTTTTATTAAATGGATCTTCCCATGGGGTGATTAAGCCAAAGTGTCCAAAACTATTTGTTTGCAATTGTTATATTCGTAAACTTGAATACTTTGAGCTATTGAAATGTACAATGTAGCTAAAGGAGTATTCCACCACAACATCTCCTTACATCATCACGGCAAGACCTGGTGGACAACCGTCTGTCCGTTGCAATCCTACACACTCCAGTGATTTATTTTATGTTTTTCTCTTTCTAGAGGGGGGGGGCAATAATGCTATATAGCCTCGGCCCCTCACAATCTATGTAAATAATTATGTTGAATAATATGGAAATAAATAACAATAACCTATAAAAAAAAACTATTATTTACAATGAGATTGAAAAACTTTGCTTGTAAAACAAATGGATTGTTATCAATCCTTTAACAGTTTAAGATTTGAATCAGTTATATTTATTTTAAGTAAAGATATTTTGTGATGTCTGTCAAAGTAAAATAAAAGTCATGTATAATCGACTTCATTTTTTGTTACTAGTCATTGAAAAATACAATTTTTCATTTTGCATGTTTTGTCTGAAATGTTGCTAGTTTTCATTTTGCATGTTTTGTCTGAAATGTTGCTAGTATGTGCAACGTACAAAAATACATAAAAAATGCCATTACAGGATATAATTGATAAAGCATCAATATAAAGTTAATAATAATAAAAAAACTCATCTTTCAAAAGTGTGATATAACAAACACTCGTCAAATTATTGCTCCTATGCTCTCGCATAGAGCCACCTATTGCTAGTTCTAATAAAACAACTAGAGTAAAACCTGAATGAGTGGAGCCCCCTATGTTCCTCTAAAATATGTTTCACCTTGTGATGTTCAACTTTAGAGGTTCAATTAACATAAAGTCAGTTGGTGTTGGGATGTTATCCACTTCACTGTTTTACTGTAACTTGAAGAAGTATCTAAGTAATTTCAAAATCCATCATCATTTACAAATAAGATCATCAATTTCATGTCTACTTCACACTTTAAAGTTGCATGTAGCTGTATGTATGAATGAATATCAGATTAAAATGCTCATTTCTCATTGACTAAGACTACATAATTAATACATGTAATAATAAAAAGTACATGTAAACTATAAGTGAACCTTAAAGGGTGACGCATATCGTTTAGCAAATCGAACGCTCGTTTCTGGTGTTGCTCACCATTTAGTATAAAAGGCCCGATCCTGGAATAATACTCAAGGGTTCACAGGTTCGATGTCGTTGTGTCAACACCTCTAACTGTTATATAGCATAAGTATATTATAGATCGTCACACATTTATAAAAGGGTGATTTTTATTTTGACAAATCAATTCCAAATTTATGGGTGAAGTTTCAGGATCTTCTATTTGTGTATAATAAGGAAAAATTGGCATCTAAATTTCCCCATAACGTAATAGCACACAGCTTGGCATATGAAATATCCTACAAATGAAACAAAGCAGTTCTAATACAAGGATTTATATTGGCTGTTGTACATGTACTGTTTGAACGCAATCACTCCATGGATAACATTTTCAAAATCATTATAAACGGATTACTTTATCTCAAAGACAATTTCAATAAACTGGATTTTACAGAACTCCCCTTATTTCTTAAAAATGGACTGATCCAGTTGATTCGCCTGGAGCCGCCATATTGTTTTTATACGGGATGCTTATCGGAACCCTTTAAGGGGCTGACCAAAAACTTTTGGTTACCTTTTGAGAAAAATTCCTTGGTCTTGAGTACATGTAAGTAAAAAAATAATAACTTAGATGCGAGTAGGTAGTTACCAGTTTCACCACCAGGTGGCTCGTTCAGGTCAGATAGCAAGGCGGGTACAGTAGAAAGTTCCCTTTCACTAGGATGTTTACTGTTTTTATTATATGAAAAATAACATGCTCCGTCACAGTGGACAAATCTTTCAATACCAGCCTGTGATACAGAGGGGTACAACCCACTCTTTTTATGCCTGGATCCAGGGATCCTTTTGTCCATTTCATAATTACTTAAAATGTGATAATGAATAATTAAGATTGTTCTCTAAAAATGGATATTCATCAATGTCACGAACGTGGATATGCAATAATTTAATGAACAAAGTTGTTTTTGTTATTTTAATTTCTATACTTTAGATAAAGCCAGAACTCTTGGCCTTTTTTGGAAAATAGGTATAACATGGAATGGTTTGAATAAAAAATATTGTAGTTATGACAATCTTTTAGTAAGTTGCTCTAAACACACCTATTCTTTTATGACAATATTTTGGGGATTTTGTTTGGAAAGAAAAAATATTTGTGTGGCCTGTAATAAAAAATTTCTGAATTGATATCCTGTTAGATTGTAAAAACCCCAATTGTGATCCTTATCTTAAACATTAAACATTTACAGTTAATGAGTCTATGAGACTCTTGGTCATTTTGTACAGGGTGGTGCAAAAAATGCAACTCATGACTACAATTTTTGAGGCACAGAGTAGAAACTACTTCATATTTGGCACAAGTAGGCTTGACTCTGCACATCTTGATTGTACTTTCAGATGCGGGGTAACCCCAAAAAATGCAATCTTCTATATTTGGAATAATGATTGAAATATACATTATTTCTACAGTATATGAATTTCACACTTCATTGTTTGTTTAGGCAGAGATATGAAGAGAATTGGATTATTTTTGACAAATATAATAAAAATTGTGTGTTGCATTTTTTGTCTCACTCT